GTGCTTGATTTGGGTGCGTCTTTCCCTTTCTGGGCAAGTTTAAAGGACACATTAAAAGGAACCCCATTTTGGGAGTGTCCGTATTTTGCCACAAACCTATTTTGAAACGGAACCCCATTAAAAAAAAGGAAACAACCCACGGGCTACATAGAACTGTTTTGGTTTGAACACATGGACGTGTCTTCTTTTAGGGCCCCTCCAAAATGGACTTCGGTTCTCCTTTTGGGCTTCCCGTCAAATCCCTAACAAGGAAGGGGAGGGGGTACCAACTTCATTAAACAAAACATATGGAATTTTCTCAAGATGGTGTGAAAAACAGGGAAACCAAAAGGGAAACAATGGCCTCCTGTCCACTAACGTGGAACCTGGCTGAGAGATCAATTTTCCTTTGCAAGGGACCCTCTGGCGGGTTCCCAGTGAGTGGAGAGGAGGGTACCCAGCCTCAATAAAAGGATAGACGCACAGACCCACATCTTCATGGATCCCTGAGAGTGGCTATGGGGGGGTGGCTATCCCTGCATAAGCCCAGGATAGGCGCAACCCCCCCAATAGACTCCCTCGAGCTCCATGGCTTGCACATCCGAGCTGCTTTTCGGCTCCTTGTTGCCCACAGAGGCCCGCCGAGGCTTAGGGCTGCCGCCTGGAGAAAAACAACAAAAAACGAGGAGCCACCTGGCCGTCCCGGCTGCTTTAAAAGGAAGCCAAGGCATCACCCCGTTTTGCGGAAACTTGACAAGGGCACCAGGGGAAACGCCCGTAAATTGGGGACAATTTCAAGACACCGCTATGGAAACCACGTAAATATAGCGTCAGGTTCGAGAAGAACTGTTTTTTGGTGCATGTGTCCAATTCAGTTGGAACCCTTTGGGCACAAAACGCAAGCAGCATGAAACCGGTCATGCTTCAAAGGGCTATGCTGGCTATGCTCGACCACGCATATTTAAAACAGGGCGTGCAGCAAGCATTGGCGAATTGGTGGTGGTTTTGTCTCGACCAACAAACCAGGCAGCAACGACGCAAACGACCCGCTGCAAACAAGACATGGATGTTATCAAAGACAGGAGCCTGGAAATGGCAACCAAGTTGGCATTATCCTGGCTGTCAATAATCTCAAATGGAGGTGCAAATGACCATCCCATCAACCCCAAGTAAACGGATCTGTTCAACATAGCAAGCTCAAAACGTACTCGGGAAGGAGCACGGGTTGTGTATACCGCATGTTCATACTTGTGTGGGATACATGACCGCGAAAGGCTTCTATACCGAGGCAGACAGCTTTCGTTTAGCTTCCCCTCACAAACAATCCAATAAGAATCAAATCCATGACATGGTCAAAAACAAAGAGCTGAACGCGCGCATGATTGCTTCGTGACCTTCCGTGTGTCATAAAAATGGCTCCTCCTAGGGCTGATGTGATGGAGTCACAATCAAAGCCTGGAATCTTCCCAGGGTTTAAAGAGTCGAACAAGTGGCTTATTCTACACATATGATTGCCCTTACTAAACTTCACTTACACAGGTTTGATGAAGAAGTCATAAACTCTGATCCTTGCGTTGCACTCAACAGGATCGCCTCTTGATTCATTTGCTCAGCTGCTCAGCGAAGCAAGTTTGAGTAATATTAAACATGTGTAGACGGATCAGTTGAAAGTCTTCAGCTGACTCGTTTTTCTCGTGGTCAAAATGTGTGGGTAGAAATTGGAGCTCGTTCCCCCCTGTTCCTCCCAAGAACCTAATCTCCATCCGCTCCTGGCCCATCATATGTATCAAAGAGGAAATACATTCCATTCCCACACAACATGGTGATTTTCCCGGTTGCCTTTACTAGGTCCTCCAGTGGAGAGGTTAGAACTTGGGCACCCTTTTGCTGTAGTCTACTTTAGCAGGGGAACCGGGGAACCCTCCCAATCAAAAAAGGCCTAGCTTAACCAGCCCCGCATCAACAATACATAACACCGACCATCAAAGATGGTCCCAGAAAGGCCCACACCGCTGCTCTCCGCATGCCTTGCGCCACAACTTTCTCCGGCTCCGTCTTCTCTGTGGCGCAGCAAGAAAGAACTCGGCCCATGGCCTGGAGAAAACACCCAGCGCCACGACAAGTCGCACTGTGAAAGAACGGTGGCCTCCCAGGATGTTGCCTCCCTTGGAGAACAGCCTCCAGAGATGTACAAAAGCCACTCAGCTGGAACAACCCCCAAGACTGAGCCTCGTTTGGCCAAAACACCCGAGGCCTCGGAAAGTCGCGCGACTGAGCCTCTGAATTTGTTTTGTTTTGGGGGCCAAGAAGCCAACACACGCGCATGACACGGACCCGCAGAAAGGAAGCCGAACTGCGGCTGAAGTGGGTTCAAGACTACGCAAACTTGGGGTCACTGTGATTCCTTGACACATCGGGGGGCTGTTTCGAGCATGTTGTGTGTGCTTTTTAAGGGGAAGCCAAAAGGAAAAACACAACTTGTGGGGTACACTAGAAAAGTCACAACCACATTGGAAAACAGCTTGCATAGTTAGACTTGGCATCCCACGCATGAGAGTGAACACATCATTATTGAAAGAAACACATCTATCTACGCTCAAGTGTGATGCTGTAAGTTCAACCGATGTAAAGGAATGAAGGCTTGCCCGTTGAATCTGCATGATTATAATTCACCAAGCTGGAAATAAGAAACGGACACCCAAGAAGGGCTATTCATGGGTGAACTCGGTTGCAAACCAACACCCTTCATATCATGAGGTTGCGATATTACTTGCCCACATTGAAAATCGCAAATGCTTCTGTCTGTGAAAGGCAAGAAGGGCGCATGCTGAACATTTGTCAGATGCTATCGACGATCGCATCTCCTCGCGTGAGCAAGAGGAACGATCTCTGAGCCAAAACAGAGATAGTCCTGCTAGAAACAGCCTCTTCCGATGCTACTCTACAACTCAATAGCGCAAAGCTAAGCCCCAGAACCCTCTCGTTGAATTCATTTCTACGGTAAGGGGGCGGGCAATGTCCTTCACATTTCGAGCTTACCAAGAGCAGTTTTCAGTTTACCTAGCTCCTCCAGTAGAGAGGTTAGAATAAGGGCACCCTTTTTTCTGTAGTCTATTTCAGTAGGGGAACCCTCCCCCCAAAAACAAACTGGTGAGAAAGGGCACTGGGGGACCTAGTGACTCGTGGCAAACTACTGGCGAGGTTTCGGCTTGGAATTCGCACTTGGCGCTGCACGCAGGCCAGTGCCCCACATAAGCGCGGGAGGTTCGCAGGTTCTGTCACGTCTGGGGCAGTGGGTTGGCCAGCTCGAGTTCTCTTTCTTGGAGCTGTCAAAGTGGCGTTGCATGGAAAGCCAGTCAATGGCACCTGTCGCAAGGGAAAGCTAAGCTGGAGAGCCGACGCTATAGCTCTTGATGTCCATCCGGAACACACAATTAATGAAGCAAATGTCGTTTGAGGACGGAAACCGTGGATTCCTGATTTTTGAGTCATTGCCTCTGCATCTAAGGCCATGAGGGACACAGACATGAAACTACGGACTCAGTGTGTCACAATTGAGCCAACACATGCGAGGGCAATGGCGGTCGAGCATTGCAAGTTGCAAGGCACAAATCCAACGTGTCCAAGAAGGGGATGCCCATTCCTCATTTGCGCCTGCACAGGTGACCTGTTGAAAAACTAGGGGGCCCTGGTACTGTAAATGGAATAAACCCCGAACCACACTATTGTGCGCTGCCTCAAACTCAAGTGTGAAACCAAGATGAGACGATCTGACCCGAAAAAATCTCGCATAGCCACGGCCAAGCTCTGTTGCTTCCCCAAGAGAGAGTGAGAAATTGAGTGAGGCCTCCCGATTGAAATTGAGAGCACGTCTCGCGCCCTGAAGCAATCTTCTGCCGAATCCAGTTGGGACTTAGGCTTTCAAGGCCCGGGCTACACAAAGTTGGGATGATCTATGACCTCAAACCGCGATGAGTGCCTACACCAGCCTATGGAACCCCTTCCCATGCCCAAGTCAGCTCGAAGCACCAAATGATAGATGCCATGTTGCTGCCCTTTTCGATCATTCCGAATCGTCTTTGAAAGGGACCGGATTTTGAACACTTCTCCACAGCTTCCCAGGCTAGAACCCTGCACCAGTCTTTTGACTAAACTCAAAAATGGCGGTCTGTGTCAAAAGAGCGGCAAAGCCGAAGAGAAAGAGAGAGCGAGAGAGAGTCGAGCCCCTGTTCAGCATCTGCTAACAGGTTGGCATGTTGTCGTTTTTGAACGGGTGGTCCTTCGGACTTGTGAAAATAACCAAACATGATGGATCTTCAGCAAGAGAGTCCGCACGTCAGGATCAAGCCGCTTTGGATTAGGGTGTCTCATTCAACCCTCAGCATCCCAAAAATAAGTGACAGGACCTTCAACCGGACAATGACATCGGCGCAGGCCCAAGCCGAAACTTCCGAACTCAAAGCTGAGAGCCACCACCCTCACGTTCTTGAGACTGCGCCTTTTATTTGGCTGCCCCTTTGTCAGGAACCGTTTGCTTCATGGAGAAACCCAATCCACATGCCACCTCGAACATTGGGTCTGACCGCGAAGTCACAAAGTCCAGACTTGCCTCGCATCCGCAAGCAGACTTTGGCGGCCGCCAAGCCAAGCGTTGAGTATCTACCCCCGGCCAATTGGTCGGAGGAAGCTCCTTTTAAACACCATGTCTGGAAAACGAGCGCGAACCTTCGGCTGATCCGCCTCCGAGTCAAACCACTCTGACGGCAGAGCCTAAGTAGCCTAGGTCGTCCTAATGGGCGCGTCCATGTAAACAACAAAACTAGGACACGCCAAAGGGGCAGTTGCGCAGTTGGAGGGTCCCCGATTGACATGGACACCCAAAAAGGGGTTTGATCCTAAAAGAAGACTCCTGACAAAAAGGACAGGTTTTGGGGTGGGAGGCCCTGCCTTGTTCGGTTCCCAACCTGTTTCTGTTGGCTTCCAAAACAAAAGCTAACGTGGACGTCCAGAAACTGATTATGGTTCGAAAAACCGGCCCCCCTTTAAATCGTAGTGCCATGTCAACCGGAAGAGTACTACTCCAGCTTCATCGACGGTTCAACGAGGGATGCCAACTACCTGGCAAAAGCGATGGCCGTGTGAGCGGCAAGGTGCTAAAAGCCTTCTTAGACCGGGTATGCAGGGGAATGCAAAAGGCTCAGAACCTTTCTGGGTGAGGGCTGGATGTCTTTCCGAAATACAATTTCCCACGCTGCTTCTGGGCAAGTCCAACAGAAATACTTGCTGAGACGTTCAGAGGCCAATCAACTCAAACACCATGAACTTGCCAAATTCATCCATGAAGTGATACTCTGATAGCCCGAACATCTTGGAACCAGTCAAAACTGTTGGCCCCAATTCTCCATTGGCTTTCGCAAATGAGTACCAATCCAAACATGGAAGTGTCTTTTCTCAACACCCTTTTTGGGATGGTTCCTTTTGAGAAACTCAAGTTGGACCGGCGCCATTTTGAGGGGTCCGCTCTAAGACACACACACACACACAACGCATGGAGTAGCAAAGGGGCCCAAGCCCAACTTGTCATAAAGAATCAACATGGCCGCTGAGGTCCCACTTGAGCTACCCCGAGCGCCAAAACCCATAAGTGTTATCTGCACTTAAGGCTCCCTTTTCAGGCTCTCGCGGGAAAAACCGAGTGGAGAAATCCCAGTTGGCTCCAACCGGGGACCTATCTTGGCTCCAACCGGGCAGGAATCGAAAGGACCATGGCCTTCGGATGTATCGATTTTGGGGCCCGATTGGTGCGTGTGTGTGTGTGTGTGTGTGTGTGTGTGTGTGTGTGTGTGTGTGTGTGTGTGTGTGTGTGTGTGTGTGTGTGTGTGTGTGTATGTCAGTTTTCGGGTGACCCCAAAATGCGCTTCCCTTTACACTCCCTACCCTTAAAAAACCCCCAGGTGATTACACTGTGGATAAAACCAGATGGATAAAACCGTTTAAAACCCTATGACTGGAATATCCCGACCGGTGCCTGGCGTGGGTATGCCCATCAGTACTGTCAAGTTCCCCCATTTAAGGAGATCATCAATTTTGGTCCTTAAAGGATGTTTTTCTCACTAAGGTTCTTTCTCACTAAGGCGATTCTTCTCATCAATTGAACTTTCCGGTTCTTCTCACTAGGGTCCTGCGGAAATTTTCTGAGTATCAACCGTGCGACAGAAAAAGGCCCATAGCTTCCCAAACCTAGGACTTGTGTAACCTCCAAAATGCCCGGCTTCCCCTTGGCTTCCCTTTAAGATAACTCCCAAAACGGCTACCCAGGAAGAACAAACAACAACGACCACATAATCCGGTCGACCAGTAGAGTCGATGCAGGTCGAGCCTCAATTCTTCTGGGGCATGGCGCCCCGAATGTTTTCCAACTCGTGCACCATGAACCGCCGCAACTGCGCGATATCCTTGGCGCATCTGCAGACACATCAGCGCATCTATTCAAGAAAGCAACCCTGGGCCGCGGAGTTGCAAAAAATATGGGTCTTCCACCGAGCGAAAGAGAGCGGGGCAAAGCGAAATAGAAAGAGCCAGAAAGAGTCATACATACACATGTATGTATATATATATATATATATGTGTATGTGTAATTCCGAACCCACATGCCTGCTCTCAGGGTTTATCTGTTGCTATTATTTCTTGTCCAGTTTGAGACCTTGTCTGAAAGGAGCACTATGATTGTAGAAGCTTTTATTTAAACAAACGCATCCCATGCTCTTCAGTGCGTGTGGTGCCATCCTGCGTTCTGCACGCTGCGCTGCACCGGCTGATGAGAATTTCCGCCGGAAGCCTTGAAGACGGTTTGTTGTACCGTGCCGAGCCCATGCTGCGAGGCCAAGTCTTTCTAAATCTGCAGAGTCGGCAAATCGCCTCACAAGTGAACATGATAATCCCCCCAATCACACCCCCCCCCCAAAAAAAACAAACAAACATGCAACCATGAACGGGACCTTCTGGAAGACCAGTTTCCTTTACAGACAGGTTCCATGTTTGTTTTGCGAGGGTACATGATTTTAGGGGTCCTGATCCCTCTCCTGAGATTCAGTAGGTGGTTTGCCTGCATGTCCCTGGCCAAGTACGCACCTGCTTGATTGTAACCTACATGCCGCGGGCCAAGATGCTACTAAGAACCAGCATAGGCTTGCTTCTTGTGCCAACTGTGTCATCAATGCTTTTCAATAGAGAACCTTCAAAGTGGTGGTTGGCGTGAATCCCCACCTAAAATGATGCCCATTAAAGGGTCCCCCATTAAATCTCATCCTCATATAACTCATTCCCAACTAACTGGGAGCGAGCCCAGTGACAAATCCCGCTCCTAAGCGTCCATTTGCATTCCAACCCTGGCACGAGCGACTGACTTGACCACACTGAGACCATTGATCCATAAGAATGTCCACCAAGCTGACCTGTCAACTCAGCCAAGGTTTGGTTGCTCTTCTCGAAAACCCGTGGACTCCGTGCTCAACCAAACTGACACCGTCGCTTTTTGCAACTCGCAAAAAAGCGACCGAAAAAGCCATCTTCGGGCGCGGCGCCATCATGCTCACCGAGGTGGTACGTCTGAACTGCAGCACTGCCTCTGACGTGTTGGGTCCAATTTTTTGGAAGGGAGAGGGTGTTTGCGGGGGAGGGGGGGGGGTTGGGTTGTCTTGGACCCCCTTTGGGTTTTGAACGCTGGGTGCAGTTTCTGGGTGGGGTGGGGGGCGGGATGATCTGGCTCCGAGGGCGTGGGGAGGCTGTTCCAGAAATCAAAAGCTACAACTTTTGATGCAAACAGGGTTGACAAACATGCGGCGCAAACAAGGATCTTTGTGTATGGCGTTCTTCCAAAATGGGGGGGGCAACCCAACGAATCAACGGCCTCAGAGCAAGTAATCTGCAGATGTTTGGAATGAACTGCAAGGGGATCCAGTAGGAAACCACCAATTAAATGCTTCAGAGAATTCATACGGGTTGCCTATCAAACCAAGAGTTTAGCGCTCGATTCCGCCTGAAACAAGTCCGAACCTGGGCGACCCAGTGCCTTGTTTGGAATTCTGCAAACAGCTAAAGCCCAATGCCCTACCGATCATTTCTTGGCTATGAACTTTAGTAGGAAATCCCTGGAAGAGTGGTTGATCAACACAAATCCGCACGGAACTCTGATGTCAGGATCCGGAGCGACGTCAGGCACCTTCAGTTCTATGGCTGCAACATGGAGAACCGTAGGCTTGTGGGCCATGACTTGACATGGACTAAATGATGGCCTGCGCTGCTATAACTCAAGCTAAAAACATCCACCCTACACATCTGGAAGGGCTGCTGTCAGTGAAAACCTTCAGTACTTCAGTCTCGATTTCTACATCCCTCGAACATCCCAAGCACGACGACCTAGGCACCGAACTGCGCAATGGTCACAACTAACGCTTAGACATCATTGGCTTGGTTTGTACCCCAAGACCCAGTGCTTCCCTTGGCTTTCATGGACAGACAAATGTGTCTGCTATGCAAACAAGTCGATATTCCACATAAGTGTGGATGCATATATATATATATGCGTATAACAATCAATGTGCACAATTGTGGTATGCAATACATAAAACTTTAACATAATATCAAATATTTATCTGGTATGTAACGATGGATTGAAACTCCTTCATTTGGGAAACGCCGTCTCCGAGAACGGTACTCAACTCCCGAGTCTCAGGAGGGCTCCCAACCCGTAACCCGCAACGTTTGATGGGCCCAGGCACGTCCACGAGCTCGGGCACGGAGAGGGCATTGGTGGTGTGGAACATGATCTCTGGATAGTCCACCTCGTACCCAGGTTTCCTTTATTCAACATGGGTGCTTTGGAGAATAAGATTTCCTCTAAGCTGGTTGGTTCCCTTTGGTTTCCCCCCCAAAAAAAACCTCCCACAGACAGGAAGAGTCACCCACACCCATGTATGTCTACCAGCCAATGCTCAGATGGTCTCCCTTTTGCAACGCTCGCGGAAAGGCGAGCGCTTTGCGTGGAGCAAATGAACCTTGATGCGTCGTGGTATTTTTTTTGGCAGCCTCCGTATGGCCCTCTGCCACGGGATCTAATGGGCTCTGGCCTCACTAGTTGCCTTCATGGAGGTTCCGGAACCTGAAATCTGAATCAAAAGTCCACCGCAAGACATCAGGCCGCAAGATTAAAAAACATTGGCCAGTAAACCGAAACCGCATGGCAAAGGATGGCAAAAGCAAGTGGCGGCGAGGTCACGGGGTGGGAAAAATGGGTCCCTTGGCTATATAGTTGCCATGCCAAGGCGGCGGGTTGATTGGCTTTGGTGTGTCATTTTGGGGTAGACCACCAAGCAGCTTCCCCCTTGAACGCAGACCCTTGCTATCAAAAGCCCCTATAAAACACGGAGCATCTGATCGGGAAGTTTTAGACTGCCCCGATTCATTTTTGGACTGAGCTGGGTGTGTGTTCTTTTCCAGGAATCGGACCCCCCAAAATGGTTTTGGTGATCCTTGTCTATACCTTTGCGGCTTCCCTTTAAATCCACCAAACAGGGTACCCTCAAACAAAGACACACCGAAATCTGGCTGCTACTCGCGGCTTGTCCAAAACTCAGCGCATTGAGACCCCGCCAAGCTGCCACCGACATGACATCCACATCAATCGATGACAGCGTTTGCACCAAGTCCTCATCCTTGTGCGGTACGGAGCAAGGGTAGAAACTGGGCGGAAGCCATCGGAAACCGGAGGAAATCACAGGAATCTAAAGGAAACAAAATAACAACCAGAGGAAACAACCCCCCTTCTCCGCCGGTGGGGGAAAGGTCATCCTGAAAGAGCTCGGAGAACTGCTCATAGCCTTACCAAGTCTCATGCTGCCAGAAGCTTGGCGCAGCCTTTGGTCATGGTCATATTTCAGGGACTTCGCCAGCAAGCTGGACTAGGTCCTCCAGTAGAGAGGTTAGAACAAGGGTACCCTTTTTCTGTAGTCTATTTTAGCAGGGGAACCCTCCCCAAAAATAGGGTGCAAGGGCACTAATTACTGGGGAACCTAGTGAAGGAACACTGGGACACAGGTTCCCCGCTAAAGACTCGATCGCCCATTCGCAATTCGGGCGAGCGCGCGACGGCCCCCTACCGCGCGCCCCGAGAAAGGAGCTGCGCCCTGCGTCCTGCAATCTATGGAAGAAAAGCCCCTTCCATACACATGAGGCTTGCTTAAAAGCAGAGGGTCTCCATGCTGTTATTTGTCCAAGGGGCTCGCGACGGGTCCAATCAAGAGGACTTGCTCATTTTTGAACAACCCTGACATGGAACTGGAGGCATCAAGCCTGGCCTGGGTCCATCCTCAGATGCAGTGGGAAGGAGCTCTGACTTTGACCACAGTCAATCTGCATATTTGGGGCCCGGGAAGTTGGGGCGGCCTATGCCACAAGGGGCGACCTCCTTTTTGGGAGGGACAAATTTGCGGGAGACGTATGACGCACTCGCAAGTAATATGTTTGCCTACATGTGTTGCTTCATCCAAGCGCTTTGGCGACCAATAGCTTAAGCAGTACCTGAAAGTCTCAATTCCATCAATCGGAGGAATTGCCACATGTCAGCTTCTTCTTGGGACACTGGTGGCTCAGAACTTGAGCAATGGCTGTATGCGGCTCTTGGATCCTGTGGATCTAAGTGGGTCAAAATTAAACCAGGGAACACATGGGTGCCTATTTTTGACCCATACCTAAACCCGCAACATCCACGAGCGGATTGAGCCGAGCATCCATGATGACGCTCATGAAGTCGTCGCGGGTGATGGCATTCTTCTTCGCTTGCGCTGGAAGCAGGTCCTGCGTGTAGCATGGAACCACGCAAACCACATCCATGACAGCCTTCAAGGAGCTGCTTCGAACTTTCAAGGGGTACAAACGTGATACAAGGGTTCAAAGAGGGGAGAGGGGGGAGGTTATGTGCACCTCTTGCATGTATAGTTTCTGCTGAATCGAGCCTCTTGCGCAACTATCCGCGCAGGCAAATGACCTTCAACACTGAATGAACGTTGGGCTTCCTGCTTAGCGCAACTGCACACCACTCAACGCACCCACTTTGAACTTCAAAGTGGGTGTGGGTTAATGTTCTAATGATGTTTGATGTCCTGTGCTACACTTTCCAACACACCGCGTCATACCCACGAAACATAATCTAGTAAGATATGGATTTCTCATCTGTGTGCGCACGTTTGTCTGTCTAGGGGCCGGGACCAGGCCGGATATGCAATGTCCATTTTTCCTATCGTTCGAGAACAACTTGCAGGCTTGTTCCCAGCTAAAAAAGGACATAGACAACGGGCATGTTTTGGGCTCGCAAACAAGCTGGTTAAGCTCCTCGATTTTGTCCTTCACAGCCTTCATGGCAGTTTCCTCTTTGTCCACTTGCGCGCAAACGGAGACCACTTCCACGAGAACGCCAATCAGCATGTTCATAACCTGACAACAGTCTCCAAAAACTTGGAGCTAGCAAAATTTCGAAAGCCATGCCCAGTGTTTCCATTTACGAGGTAACCCCGAAAAATACACCAGCATAGACCCCAGATCGCACACCACGGCTATGAACCATGACGCAGCATCATAATAATTCCCTCGGCATGATGATGATGATGTTGACAGCATCTTGATGATGTTGACAGCATCATGAAAATACCACTGCTGCTCAGCATAGTGTGCTACATAGACGCGCAGACAACGTCCTAGTGAGTTCATCAGCAAAACGATGATGTTGACAGGATGATGCTGAGACACCAGTCACGAACGAACCCGTGCTACATATCTAGCAGGAAAAAGGCAGAGACGACGTCCTGATAAGTTCGACAGCATCATGATGATGCGGACAGCATCATGATGATGCTCACAGCATCATGGTGGTGGCAAAGGCAGCATCCTGATGATACCACAGCCAGGAATCATTTTGCGACAGTGTAATGAAATTCAGCACCATCCTGATGTTGACAGCACTTATGCCCACCACCACACCCACGAACCATAACGCGGCATCGCAGCGATTGCAGAAGCATCATGACGTGGTTGACAACATGATGATGATACACCAGCCCCGAACCATTACGCGCGACAGCTAGAGCAGCAACAACGTCCGAATCTGTTCAACAGCATCATTATGCTGCCCGGACAGCATCATGATGCTGCGGCCAGCATCATGATGATGCGACAACCACGATACCCCAAACAGCACCCGCCCTAGCACCCTGCCATCCATATGCGCCGCACCATCGCCAACACCCGACCGATAGCACCCCAACGCAGCACCCGCGCCAGCACCGGACACGTCCCCGAGCACCCTGCCGTCACGTACTGTCACAAACCTGAACCGAACAGCACCCAAAACCGCACCTGCGCCAGTACCCCAAACTGCATGCCCCCTAGCTCCCAGCCGTCGACTTGCAAAACAATTTCCCTTCTTCATTAGAAGATAGAAACCCTATGGTTTCCAGATGTTTCCAGTTGTCGGAAATAAGCCCACGCGGTCAGCAGCAACAGCAACACAAAACAACACCTGCAGCACCACCCCAAACTGCATGCCCCCGAGCACCGCCGGCAATCTCCGAAAATTGCGCCCACAACGTCAGCAGCACCTCAAACAACACCCCAAACAGTACCTCAAAACAGCTGCATCAGCTCCCAAACTGCATGCGGCCATCGATCTTGCAAGAATGCGCCCGCACCATCACCAGCACCTCAAACAGCACCCCAAACTGAGTGCCCCCCCGCTGTCCAACAGCACTGGCACCAGCACCTTAATCAGCAGCGCAAACTGCATGCCCCCTAGCACCCGGCCGTCAGTTTCGCAAAGCGGCACCTCCACCAGCACCCGAAACTGCATGCCCCTAGTACCCGGTCGTCAATCTCGCGAAACACACCTCCACCAGCACTCCAAACTACATGCCCCCTATCTCGCAAAGCGGCACCTTCACCAGTACCCGAAACTGCATGACCCCTAGCGCCCGGCCGTCAATCTCGCGAAACAGCACCTCCACCAACACTGCAAACTACATGCCCCCTATCTCGCAAAGCGGCACCTCCACCAGCACCTGCAACTTCATGCCCTCTAGCACCCGGCAGTCAATCTCGCAAAGCGGCACCTCCACCAGCACCCGAAACTGCATGCTCCCTAGCACCCCGCCGTCAACCTCGCAAAACAGCATCTCCACCAGCACCCCAAACTGCATGACCCCTAGCACTTGGCCGTCAAGCTCGCAAAACAGCACCTCCACCAGCACTCCAAACTACATGCCCCCTAGCACCCGGCCGTCAATCTCGCAAAGCGGCACCTCCAGCAGCACCCGAAACTGCATGCCCTCTAGCACCCGGCCGTCAATCTTGCAAAACAGCACCTCCACCAGCACCCCAAACTGCATGCCCCCTAGCACTCGTCCGTCAATTTCGCAAAACAGCACTTCCACCAGCACCCCAAACTACATGACCCCTAGCACTTGGCCGTCAATCTCGCAACACAGCACCTCCACCAACATCCCAACCTGCATGCCCCTTAGCACCCGGCTGTCAATCTCGCAAAGCGGCACCTCCACCAGCACCCCAAACTGCATGCCCCCAGCACCCGGCCCTCAATGTCGCAAATCACTTTCCCTTCTTTATTAGACGTTAGAACCCCTGTAGCTTTCATCTATCTGGGGAAAAACATGGACGATATTGAGGCAAAATTCCTGGTCACCGACTGTAATGACACCTAACAGTGGGATAGCTTAGGCTGACCAAAGCCGGTGAGCTATGCTTCCGATTTAGGCGTTGCCCTGTCGACTGTGGACAACAAGGCCGACAAGGGGGTTGTTCCAAACGTCTGGATCACTGCAGCCTCTGAAGTTCTCTGGGTGTAGTGGAGCCTCTGGATGGTCTAGACCGTATCTGGATCCGGGCTTGGGACGGGCCGGCCATGAAATCTGATCCAGAAAGTTGACTCTCTCCCCCTATCCCCTTGTTTTCTCATTCTCGTCATTTTTCTATTCTCAGTTTCCTCTCTCTTTCCCTCTCCTTTCTTTCGTTCTTTATTTCTGTAATTGCCTTTCTTTCCCTTGCTGGAAGATACGAATCTGCGCTGCTTTGCTCAGAGCATGCCTTCCACACAAGGAGCAAAAAGGGAAATATCGCGAATCGCGATCGCTCGCTCCTTCTATCCGAAAAGAATGCGCGCGCGCAAAACCTGCAAGTCTTGGCTGCGAAGTTTTGCCAAGGTGTTGTCCTGCTCCGCCACGTGAGCCAGTTGCCGAAGGTCGAGGTTGTAAAACAAGTAGCCCGCTCGTCCGACAACGCAGCTGTTACGCAAAACGGCTGCTTGGGGAATTTTGCTCCTCCCAACTCTGATCGAAACCAGCGTGATGAGGTTTCCCTTGACAAAGTCAAAGCAGCAGAGAATTCTTTGTAGTTTACAATTCAATGACGATACAGCCAGGCAAAGTGGAATCGACAAGAGCTGAGTTGTCACTTGGCTTCAACGCAGCGGCAACGGTTGCGATGGCTTTCTCCACGGCCAAGTTGGCTTGAGAAGTGGCATGACTGGCGCACACACATTGGCGATGAGGAAGTATGCGCACTTCACTTTGCCCACCGAAGACCCGTTCTGCAAAAATGAGCGAGCAAGCATCTTGCTGCTTGCTGCAAGTTGGATTGCAGAAGCACGATCGCTCGCAGTCCATCCAGTGAACATCGCAAGCATACTGGCCAACGTATCGACAAGAACCTGGTGCAAGGTCTTCGCATCCTTTTTTCAAAAACAAAAGCGGCCTGCAAGCCTTCAGCCATTGAAAAGGCAAATCACCATGCTGCGCACAGTAGTTGGGACATATGACATTGGAAGCACGCCTACACGGATGCCTCCAGGATGTAAATGGACCGAGGGGCGTGTGGAGCGTTTGCGGAGTGCCCACGCACCTTTCGTGTTTGTTTTTCTCTCCTTTTTCGTTTTCGGAAGCTACCTTCCAGACTCTTCCAGCGAGGACGAATTTATCGTGGATGAAGATGAAGTGCCGCCGTTAGGCCAAAACTTTCAGAGCCTGGTGTTGACGACCTTTTGTTGAAAGAAAGGCGTCGCCTGTCTTCTGCACGGCGTCAGCATCTGAGGCTTCAGAGGGCTCGGCTATGGGGTCAAGGGCCAGGAGCGACACAACACGAGGGTCATGATTGTCTCTGAGCCCACTCGGATGACGCAGCCGAGCCTCCCGCTACCCCACGTCCAACATCCAGCTGGGCGATCTGCGAAAGGGCTATCAGCGAAAGACAGGTTCACAGATCCAAAGGGCTCACTGCTCTTGCTGAGCGCCCATCCCTCGCGTTCTGATTCAAGCTCCACTTGAAGAGGCAGGTGCACAGCTGACCGCGAAGTGAGATGTGCCAACATATCAAACTGTCATGGCAGCTTGCAACTTGATGCAAGACTGTATGCTGCTGTACACCGCAAAACACATTCATAAGACCCTGCCTACGCTGGATTTTCTTGAGCAGCCTACACTGCCGCAATCCTACACATATCTATATATATACATGTATTAATAATAATACTTCTCTCCAGTCGGGCATACACGGAGCCTTCGCAGCACACAGGTGGTGCTCCCGAATGCCAACTACCGCTGAGAAAGCCATTAGCAATTGTAGGCGTGAACAAAGGCCAACGGGTAAAGAACGGCAGTCTTTCCAAAGCCACCCCCTGGCTTCCATGTTTATTGATCCATGCTTAGCGCCGCAAGCGTTCCAAGCCCTCTGTTCGGTTTGCTTGTCCCACTTCAGCCCCCTGCGCGTAGTGTGAGGCCAACAAAGGCCGCCACCGTTGACGTGGGGCGCTGGTTCTCCCTGTCGGGGCGGAAAGTTTGTGTGTTGATTCGCACCAATGCAAACATGCTTGCGACAACAAACACCAACATCATACAGCTGTGGATATCATCTTCTGTGCCGTAGGCACCTCCTTCATTCACTTGGCTGGACCCCTTCACTTTCCAGACTGTCCGGGATTCCGTAGGGTCATGGACTCCCCTTAGCAGCAGCTTTTCCTTCCATCCACTTTCTCCGCATCACAATCTTATTTTTTAAATGTGACAGCGGACCCTTTGGTGGAGTTTCTCCACCAACGACTTGTGAGGTGAAAATAGAATTCGCAGCCACATCGGCGACGGAAATAAAACTTTTGGCGTGCCCGATTGCGCACCTGGTAGGTCCTAGTGCTCATTGGGCTCATAGGGCTTCATCCATCCCAAATGGTTTTTGAATTGGATTTTGTCCATGGCTGTGGGTCAAAACCAATGGGATCCCATTTTGGGGTAGGTGAATTCACCACTTATTTTAGAACCCATCTTTGTTTTTTGGATTGAATCGGATGTTCACTGGGGGCTAACCGATTTGGATTTTGCAAAGCCCATGGCCACATAGCAGGACTCTCCGCCAAGAAGCTGTGAGCCCTGTGACCAGGAGGTAGAAGATGCCCAGCAAGTAGGTGGTGGGGCCCACCTGCAGCATCCTGCCAAGGCAGGAAAACCTTCGGTGAATCGGATGACCTTTGGACCAAATAGATGGGTTTTCCTGGCAAATGGATGGCATATAGCCGATCTCAACCAGTGGAACCCATCTATTTCTAACCAAGCCAGCATAAAATGGCCGCCTGCTGTGGATGGACGAAATCCTGCGCCACCTAAGAAGCCCTGGAATGATGATTCCCCTGTAACTAGCAGCGGACAATGGTTTCCCATGGTTTCAAAGTGGTGTTAAACGGATTTCGTCCATCCACAGTATGTTCACAACCCAATGCAACAGGCGCTCGAGTGCCCGTGCCCTGGACCCTCTCGGCCTCTACCCTCGTTCCCAGGCCAAAGGGCCTTCACGGCGAATCCTTGCTCGCTTCTTGGGGAATCCAAACAAAAAAACATGTGTGTGTGGGTGTGGGTGTGTGTGCTGTGTTGAAATTTGGGAGGAGGGGGGAGGGGGGGCGGGGGGGCAGAAAGAAAAGGTTCCATTTTGTGCGTTGACTTTTTGTTGGTTCGGTTTGGGAGGCCAAAGGGACACCACCCAAGGCGTTCAATTTTGAGACACCCACACGACCAAGATCTGTCCTCTGCATGAGCTCTTGCTGCTCGGGGAAGACCTCAAAGCCATCCCCGAAGTAAGCTGACGATCACTGGGCAAAGGTCCCTCCCAACAAACATAGAACCTGCACGGAGAGCCCGGAAAGCAAAAGAACATTCTTCCAGGACCCCCTGTGCTGATTCGAGGATTGCTTTCGGCAGGGTAATCTTTTGTAGGTTTGATGGAAAAGCCGTTCATCTCGAAATAAACATAAAACACAAAAAGTAAAAACAACATAAACAGGTCAAAAGGAGAGCCAAGAATAGCGGCCTCCTTTCCCGAAGAAAAAGACCCCACACAGAAATCGGAAGTCATGCCAAGGTCATTTGCAACATCCATCGACTGATCTGCGGTGGGACATCTTTCGGTCATGACTGGTCGAATCGTCAGATCATGGGCTGCGAATCTCAAGTTGCTCGGTCATCATGTTTCTTGCCTTTGGTTCTGTGTGCTCGCGCAACCCATTGCAAACAACCTCATATCTGTGCACTGAGAATTGGCAATCACGTGCATTCTCTTGCTCCAGAAGCATGAGCCCAGCAGCAAAGCAAAGCACCTTGCGTTCTCCCACCTGACATTGCAAAACAAATTGGGGGTGTCCTTCCATGGGGAAACCTTCAAAATGTATGCATGGTTTGCCTTTTGGTGCCCAAGGCCAACGGAGATGGGTCTATTTTCAGCCTTCAGCCTGCGCCAACATGTTCGAGTCAGAGTTGCTTAGAAGATCACCGGCTGTTCTGTAAGCCGGATCACGCCATAAAGGTACATCATTGAATCATTCTTGAAATAACCCGCTGTTGGCTCGCAGACGCAGGAATAGATACAGCTTTAGGTGAACATGAAAGCCAATCAATGGTATTGCCCACCGAACCTCTTGTTTGTTTCCCTTTCAGTGCAGGCCAGGGTCTAGTTCTCAGGATGTTTAGGGTTAAACAACAACAAAAAAACAATGGGGTTGCCATGTCCCAGGTAAATCATGCACTATGAATAGAACATGAATGAAAACCTCATTCGCATGGCCCTGAGTCACTGCCATAGTTGATTCTCAATGCACCCCCAAAGCGTATGCGGCCCTCCTCTTGGCTTCTTTCCTTTTTTAACCACTTAAAAAGAGGCACCCTCAAATCTCAAAACAAAACACACGCCCAAAATGTATGCTGTGCAAAACCACAACCCCCCGTGTTGCGTGTTTCCTTTGGTTTTGGTTCCCCTATCAGACCCAAACTGGAGGTTTCGGTCCCCCGCTTTGAGACAGACCCATTTCGGTTTCAAAGGGCCCCCCAAAAGGAAAGCCGAGAGGAACACCGAAGCAATTTTTTGGGGGGACCCCCAAAAACATATGGTTTTAAAATACATTCGCTCAACTTGGTTGTTTCGCCAGGTTGGTTGTTTGGTCGAGACGAGACTTAGATGTGTGTGTCATGGCTTTACTTTGCCGGCCATTCAAAGTCCCATGGGCCGTTTGCTGGCTAAGGCATGCACAGGGGCCCAGGTGTGCTCGCAACTGCGGGATGGACCTGGCTGTCGATCAGGCAAAGCTCAGTGAGGAACGCAGGCGGCGGATCTGCAATGATCAGCAATTCTTTCGGCGAGGAATTTGGCTGGCAGGCCAGAAAGTTTTCGGCGAGAAATTCAACGGGCAGGCTCAATAATTTTCGGCGAGTTCCTCCGCGAGGGGCTCTCCCAAAAGTCAGGATCTCGGCGAGCAATCTCGGCGAGTTGCGCTGAGCGGCTTGGCTGGCTGCGAAGCACGAAAATCTCCTTAAGGCCCAGTTCCACCAAGCCCTGCTTTGGAGAGGCCCTCGCAGAGGGGCTCTCCTTGAGAGGGGGGTCTGGCCGACTTTTGGGAGAGGCGACTGCATCGCGCCCCAAGTTTCTCTCCCAATAAGTCGGCCAGACCCCCCTCTCAAGGAGAGCCCCTCTGCGAGGGCCTCTCCGAAAGCAGGGCTTGGTGGAACTGGGCCTTAAGGAGAGATTTTCGTGCTTCGCAGCCAGCCAAGCCGCTCAGCGCAACTCGCCGAGATTGCTCGCCGAGATCCTGACTTTTGGGAGAGCCCCTCGCGGAGGAACTCGCCGAAAATTATTGAGCCTGCCCGTTGAATTTCTCGCCGAAAGCTTTCTGGCCTGCCAGCCAAATTCCTCGCCGAAAGAATTGCTGATCATTGCAGATCCGCCGCCTGCGTTCCTCACTGAGCTTTGCCTGATCGACAGCCAGGTCCATCCCGCAGTTGCGAGCACACTGGAGCCCCTGTGCATGCCTTAGCCAGCAACGCAATCAAGAACTCTCATCCTGCGAAAACGGCCCATGGGACTTTGAATGGCCGGCAAAGTGAAGCCATGACATACACAGCTAAGTCTCGTTTCGACCAAACAACCAACCTGGCGAAACAACCAAGTTGAGCGAAAGTTTTTTTTTTCCTTTTGGGGGGCCAAATCTTTTGCAGCCACCGAACACGGGGGTTCCACCAAACAGACAATGTGTTGCGCCCAAAGATCCCAAAGCCGAGACAGGCGGCCACGTTGAGCATGAGGCAGTTCATGGACTGCAGCACGTTCTCGTAACAGCCCTCCGCCTCTTCCGTGTCACGGAAGAGTTGGGTGAAGATAATGGCGAACACGTAGATCACCACCATCATCAGAAACCTCTCACAGAGCTCGAGAGCGGCCGGCTCGCTGTGAAATCCGTTGTAAGGAACCTCATAAAATTCAAAAAACAACTATCTGGTACTTGAAAGCTCCCTCCCTCCAGTAACGCTTGTAACCTAAAGGAACCTCATAACAAAAAAAAAACACTCCCTTCAGCCAGAATTCAAGGGTGGGATCTATTTGTTTCTCACCCATCGGAAGTCAGGGACCAATCAAAGGAACCCTCGCCACACTGCTAGTCATCATTGGATTGATTCGTACCAAAGATTTCTAAGGCACGTTTTGAGGATCCAATATCAAGTTTATTCTGGGATTGACCTTCTGGGGCGGAACAGGACCTGGGCAAACATGCCCCAGACCCTTTTGGGACACTCTGGAGCTCTGTTGTGTATGGCGGGAACCCAGAATTCTGCATCAGGACCCCCAGCTAAGGGAGCATAAGCGAAGTTTCAGCATATCATCATTAGGAGCCCAAAGCCAAGGAAAAAGGACCCCGAGATCGGCTCGTTCCGAGATGCGTTCGCTCTTCGGGTGTCCGAGGCGCAAGGTGGAGAGCACCGAGCGGAGGCCCATGCCGATGCCCTTCACCAAGACCACCAGCTCGCGGCAGGAGCTCATCAGCCTGCGGCAGAGGCAAACGAAACTGGGCTGCCCGTTTTCAGATCCCCCGCTAAAAGTGACTAACTTTTAGTGGGTGAAATGGAAACAACCACTAAACACTTAACAAGCTAAAAGGCTAAGGGGATGGCTGGGAGCCGGCAAGGAAAGAAGAACTTCCTGCCTCGATAGCCTAGTTGCGATCGCCTTTTTTCAGTCACTGTTGCTGGCTTTTGGGGTAAAGTGCCTGGCAAAAAACAAAAAATGCAACTGGCGATCCAGGTGGGGGAAGCCGAAAGTCAGATTGCAACCCCGTCCATGCAGCTGCCAAAAGCAGGGCTTTACAAGGGCAAGACAAGATGGCTCGATTCCCTTTACCTGGGGAAGTAAAGGGGATGAGTAAACTGAAATGAGGGGATTGTGACTTCTACGGGATGCCCCTCCTCCGAACCTGGCCAAAATCCCTTCCTGGTTTTTGCTCTGGCCTTATAAGTGCTCTGTAGGGATCCACTTTGTCTTCCCGACAAAACTTGCGATCGGTGCGAGAGATTCAGAGAATGCTGGAATGACCCCGAAATAAACCATCCAACTGGTGGTTTCCTTTGAGGGGACGCCTGGGTTCATTCCCTCATTCCCTTCTGAGCGCAAAACATGCGCAAGAAAACGGGTACCCACATGTGAAAGCAGATGCAGCTGTTGGACAGCGTTTGACGGACCAAACGAGATACTCCTAAGAGCCCAGCAACACTTAAACAGTCACCAGGATGCCCTGACGGGTATCAAATGGTTTGTTGAGAGCCTAAGCAGGCCATTTGTTGGTCCAGGGGCACTGTGCCAAAGTTGCTCAAAGCTCAAGCCGCCAAATGTTCAGGAGGTGTTGGATGTCTTATGGCTTCTGGCTCATATACCACGTAACATATGCTTGCAAGGCAGGACACATATCCCTTTGAGTGAAACTCTATCTACCTCCAAAACCCACAGGTGACGTGTTACTTGCCATTTCTTGCCCAGTGGTTTCCTATGAGAGCGTAAGAAAACCAAGCGCGCGAGAAGCTTAGGTCTTGATGGCTGAGGCTCAAACCCCTTGTCGGTCCATGTGTCTTGGATCCGGAGTGCTTGGCTTTCCGGGCCTGCTGGTCTAATTTGGATCCGGGAAAACATCCGCTTGGATCGGCCCCAATTTCGATGCCCGAATCGTTCTCGGAAGTCCTTGAACCAAAGGACCCTTCGACACATCGAGAGCCGATTTGGGGTAACTCCAATTCAGCTTGATTGGATTGTTTCGAGGTTTTCTGGGGGCGGGTTCCCATACCTAGAGATTCGTTGCGGCAGACATTTCTGCCGCAAATCAAAAACGGCGCCTTTTTGGATTTGCGGCATTTCTTCCTGATTTGCGGCGTTTTTTTTCTTAATGCGGCAGAACTCGTGTTCAGCTTTTTCTACCCCCCGATTTGCGGCGGAAATCGGCGGGAATGCGACGGAAATCGGTGGGAATGCGGCGGAAATTCCCGGAAAGCAAACGGTGTTGCGGCGTTTTTGTCTTGGTTGCGGCGTTTTTTTGGGTTTGCGGCTGATTTTCTGGAATGCGGCGGAAATTTCCGCCCCAATGCGTTGTGGCAGAAATTTCCGCCGCAGGAAGTTCTAGGTATACCCACAAGAATCAGGGGTCAACCCCTGATAAGTCACCAAAGGATAAGCTGACCCTATAGCCAAAAACACCAATGGTGAAGGCTGGGGACCTGCAGGTTTGCGGGTGGGGCAATCCCGCAATCCACACTTGGGGATTCCAATTGACCTCGAATAGAAACCCGCCCTTCCACGCCATTTTCTGGACCGACTTTGTCCCTTCCTCCAAACAAGAGCCCCCTCCAAGAAATGGGCATGCCGCCGAAGAAGGAAAACCAGGCACGACCTCCGACCGGGTCTGAGTAAACCCCCCAAAAACGGCGACACCCCTTCCGGCCTGCCCACCCGCGCGATGCGCACCAGCCGGAAGAGCCGCAGCAGCCGCAGCACCGACAAGTTGGTGCCTCCCTCGGAGCGGCTTCCGATCTCGGACGCGCTTTGTCCGGGTTGCTGTTGGCGTGGCTGGTGACACTCGTTTTTCTGGGTGAATTTCAATATTTCACCAACCCGAAATAAGGTGGTTGGGGGGCTATTCCGCACAGCAACCCCCATTTGGGGTGAGCTCGTGCGAGGTCGTTATATATTTCACTCAGTTGGTTTCTGACCTTTCAGATCTGCTAAACAAATAACTTGCAGGTGCAACGGAAGCCCCGTAGAAACCTGACAACCGAAGGGGATGGCTGGCAACCACCAAGGCTTGATTTAGGTTTGGGCCATGGCCCTTGCACCAGCCAACGTTGATCCGCTGTGTAAACGCCCACCCTTTCTGCGATACGTGGGACATCCCTGCTGCCATTTTATGAAGGACTCGCTTAGCATCGCAGCAAATGGCCTTAACTTCCAGTTCCACAACCATGCCAATGTGCGGAGCTAAACACCATAGCTGGGTGCCATATATGCGCTCGGCAACAAACACCAATTGTCCTTCCCCTCTTGTTTCCTGGGAAAGTTGACATGGTGAACAGCTATCTACCATCCCCAGCAACATGGTTTGTTCGTTTGAGAGGTGGCTGGTGGATAACTTTGCATTGACTTCAATCTTGGCCATCTTTGGATGTGAACCAAACCACCAATTGCCGGCATTTATCAGCAATCCGAGCAGGGATGAATCATATCAGTGACGTGGCCTGGGTTCAGTACGAAACGGGCTTCAAATACGCAGGGTGCTGGCAGATTCCAGCTTGCCCCCTGTACTTCCTTAAGCTAAGCGGCCGACAAAGAGCGACAGACAAAGGATTCCCGAAATGGACCGTCCTTCAACCACAACCCCAGCAAAGCGTGGTATCAGGATCTTCCTTGTTCCCCTACTTGCGTATCCGGATCATCCATCCGAACAAGCAGAGTTTGAGAACCAAACTAAGATGAAAAAGTAGAAGCAACTACTGCCTGCATTTGTAGACGTATTTGCCTATCTCTCAACGAACTTGAAACAATTGCAGAATATATGGGTCTGTCTTTTTCGGGGGAACCCTCTTTTGATTGGTTTTAACGGGAAACCCAACGAAAACCCACCATTTTGGGCACCGTGCCCCAAAAAAAGACGCAGCCATCATACTGTGGATGGACAAAATCCTGCACCACATTGAAACCATCGGAGAAAAAAAAGAAAGGTTTGTGGTATATCCGCGGGAATCATCGTTCCAGGGTTCTCAGGTGGTGCAGGACTTCATCTATCCACAGTACAATTCGTCCAACCCTACGCCTCGCTTGAAACACACCCCGGCTCCCACGGTTTTGCCGCAGCCTTGATTGAGAAAACCTCCTGACGCGTCTGAAAAGGCGCTTGTGTGTAATTAAACACTGTGGCAACTTTCGGTCGAAAGCAGGGAGCAAACCATTCTCTCTGGCCTATCAGTCAACAAGCGTGGGTCCCAACAAATGGACGCAATGCATCCTAGACTAGAGCAACTACCTCCATCATCGGATATCACCATAATCCCTTCTTCCACAACATACAGGTTTTCCGAATAATAAAGCATATTTGTCCAGACCGCCCAACAAATCCAGGTCTGGGAATGCTAGACCTAGAATATGTCAATTCTACACCAATACTAGGCTGGCGATTTTCCCTCATGACCCCAACTCGAGCCGTACTGTGGGTCTCCCCCAATCCTTTGCCTGAAACATGCACCTACCAACCTGCCTGCTTGCCTAAGTACTCGACCCAGTGGGAAAAAACAAAACGAGGAGTCGGAACCATCTAAACCCCTTACTGAGAAATTGCATTCTGTGAGCCTTTTTGAGCCCGGAAGGCAACATGTACTTTGTGTTATAACTCAAACTACTCCCTGCCGCGCAACAAAGCTCCGGAAAACTGTTTGCTTTTTTTGTTTGGGGCTTGCGGGGGTCCCGTTTGATATTAGGAGGGAAAACAAGCGTTTCACCCTCTTGTGGGCAACAACGGGACCTCCTGAAACCCGAACGGTAGCCCTGGCAACGTTCGTGGCCTCTTCATTTTCCAGCAGAATCAAAAGGCAGATCTCAATCCAAGACACGAGTCTCATATCCAACAAGCAGATCATTCAAACGTAGACACCACATGAGGTGCTCCAAATTGAAAAGTGCGGGTTCCCGCGGAGACCCGCTCGTTGAAACCCGATAACATTTCAGCAAGAAACTTAGGTTCGTCCTGGCATTTGCCTTTTTGATGATTATATTCATGCATTTGTAATTCTGCCCCTTCCAAATATTGGGGTAATTATATATATATATATATATGTATTGATCCCCAGAAAAGACTTGTAGTTGACGCGCAAATTGGCCCCAGTGAGCCAAAATCCAACAGGAGTTTCCTCTCAACACGGGACGGGCATTGCTTGGGCTTCAGAGCCTTTAGGCCAGTGCTCAAAGACGGCCGTCTGCCTCCCCCAAATCTAAGCATGAACAAAAGCTCCGTTGAATCCTATCTGGGTGTGGCTCAAAATTTAACAGGAGGGGTTACGCGGGTTTTGGTCCATGTTTCCACTTACCAGGGTTCCATTTTGGTACCGGTTTTTTGAGCCACAGACAGCCATCTTACAAAAGCTATTGCCACCAGTTCTGCCAATGCTCAGTCGTTGTCGTACAGTTTAATTCTTTCATCCCCTCTTCGATTTGTCAGCCAGTCCCTTCCCGCTTCTCCCTGCACTCAGGCGGCCACTGAGGTACCTTGGACGGCAAGGTTCGAGTGTGACTCTGATGCCTTCGAGGAGTGACGCTAAATGGGCATATGGGTCTGTGTTTTGTTGAGGGTCCCGCTGCTTTGGTGGTTTTAAAGCATCGCCCTTGGAGCTAGTGATTGGAAGGTGTCTTGACTTGAAGTGCGAGGTGTTCACATATTGGGGGCCCTTTAAAATTCGAGGGGGCGACATGTTTCAGTGTTGCTGTGCTTAGTGAGTGCAATATTGGAGGGTGATTGGCATCTCCAGGCAACTACCTGAAAAGCAAGGGGCGCGGTAGTCGTGAGCAAGCCATCCAGAGTACGTCAGGTCCAACTCATTTCACAAAGAAATTGATTCGGTTCAGGCAGCTGACATATTTTCTCTCCACTGCCCAACCAGCGTCAATCCAATTAGCGAGCATGACGTTGGTATGACCCCAACCAAAGCCGATGAAACGGCCAAGTCACATCGCACTTCTTGTTTTTCATGATTCGGAACGGGTTGGTGTCTTCGCCGTAAAGACGCTGCCAAAATGACATCCTTCCAATAAAGTCAATTTCGTTGTATTCGGGGGTTACATCATTACAATCAGGTGTTACACCAAATGGCTATAGGGAGCATCATGTGTCACGCTTCGAGGATTAAACGGGGGAACGAGTATCACAACGGGGTCAAGGGTGAGAGGATGAGGGGGTGCGTGGGCGATGGTTTTGGTGGGGGGCCGGGGACGACGGTTTTGGTGGGGGGCCGGGGACGACGGTTTCGCAAAACCACCACGTCCCTTTGAAAGCGTCAAAAAACACAACCACTAACATTTTGGTGAAAAAGCCACGATTACCTAATATGGGTCACCCTCGGCTTCCTCAAAGGAATATACCCCTGTACTTCCCCAACCCCTGGCTACCAAGTAAGAAATTCCACCAGCAAAAAGGAAATTCGCCCAGAAACTAACCTAGTCTGAGAGAAACCGCAGCACCCATTGACTTTGCGACCTTCCACAAGTTGTTTGGGGGCTGCCCTGAGGACGACGGTCCTGCCAAACCCTCACCCCCAGCAGTCTCAGGTTTTCAGAAAGTATAGGGCGATTCATACAACTAGCAAGTCGGTGATGCACTGCAACATAGTTCGCGTTTCAAGGCCCGATGAACCGGCCGAGGGCAGACATTGACTTGTCACATCTTCTGAACTTGAAGCTGCAACAGACCAAAAATACCTCAGAGGGTCAGGGAGTAAAATAACTCCAAGAACTTGACTAAATGCAAATGTTGGGCGCAAGCCTCTTCTCTGCCATAGACCACCCCCCCCCCCCTGACGCTGAAGTGGCAGCAGTTCTATCGCTGCTAGGCCCATGACACCCGAATGGAATGTTATGGCACCTGAATGCAACGAAATAGCCTTCCAAGTGAAGTGCTTGCGGGCTTCTGCAAATTACTTTGGGGGTTGCTTCCTGTTTAGCCACTTGGGTGTGCCTTTTTTCGGGGCCCCCAAAAAGATCACATTGAAACTGCCCCAAGCTGAAAAGACACCCCCGCCTTGGAGGCTGAGTTTGAAGAGGTCACTTTGGACCCGGAACAGTCAGATAAAAGGTCCGAGCATCGCATGAACACCACGATGATGGAGCACACCCAAACCTGACGGCGTCGTTGCCTTGGGACATGCCGCTTACTCCGAAGCTTCTCTCAGATGCCCAGTGGCCATGGGAAAAAAGGAGCATCCTTTTTACTTAGTTGAGTTTAAAGGGGAACCCTTCCCACAAAAAAGGAACAAAGGGCGCCACTGGGCAACTTGGTTCTTGTGTGCTGGTGGTGAGAGGAATCCTTATGAGCTTTGTCTACCCTCCCTGCCAAAAGAAGGGTTGTTGCATGGAAACCTCTCAGGAGACTGGCGCCAAACAATATATCGGGAGAACAACACTCCCCAACCTGCGACCAGAATGTCTGCCATAAACCCATCCTATTGGGGGGTTGTTCCCTCAAATGAAGGTCTTCCCGAAGGGGACCCCTCCAACCGAAAAATCCACCAGGGTTTCCAGACGAAAAAAACGCCTAGCAAGCCCACCGGTTCACACTTCGGATGTGAACGGGTGCTCGATTGCTTATTGCTTGGTGTCCAACGTGCTTCCCTTTTTTGTGAGGCCTGCCACTTGCTGTCCCCAGAAGCTTGATTGATTTGCAGCAGTAAGCCTTTCATCTTCTGCCTGCCAGCTTTAGTCACTCCGACATTCATTGACAACTCTCAACATGCGCAAAGGGAATGCGACAATAAATGCAAGCAACATGTGTAGATTGTTCATTGAGGTGCCTGGAATCAGCCCTGTTGCCAGCCTTTCGCCATCCTAGCACAGCCTTCGGGTTTCCTTTCGCGGGAGCAAGGCAGGATTCCACAAGCTTTGCTACGCAGCGTGTGTTGATCGTTTCTTGTCTTCTAGTCCAATCACCGGGCTTTCGCAATGCTCGTGTCTCCGAGCATGCCCATTTCGGACATGCAATTAAGGAACGCCCTGTGTCTGTCATGCTTCCTTGTGGGATATCTTACATACTACCATGTTCCAACAGATTCTTCTCCTTGGCCCAAAAAAGCGTGTTCGCAAGTGGTCAGAATCAGGGTTGTGGAATCAAGGGGTTTATTCCGACTTCCGTGATACAAGGGAATCTCCCCCTTGATATGGGTGTTAGTCTTTGGGAAGCCCTTTTTGTTGTATCACAGAAGTGGTCATTTCCCACAGCCCTGGCCAGACTAGTTTGCCCCTGGATCTGGCCTCCCAGATCATGGTGAGTACCAGCGAGAAGTCGAAGGCGAAGCTGAAGTCCTGGCTGCGATCGCCGGGTGCCAACACCACGGCTTTATGGGGCCTGGGATTCTGGGCTGCCCGTTTTCAGATCCCCCGCTAAAAGTGTTTATCATTAAGCGCGTTAAGTGGAAACTACCACTAAACAATAAAAGGATCTAAAAAGCTAAGGAACCGGATGGCTGGGAGCCACCAAGCATTTAGGACATGGTTGAAAAAAATAGCTAGGAGGGTGCTGAAAGTTGCCCTCTGCCCAATCTCAAGACAAAGGGTTATGTGAATTGTTCATAAGCCCCTCACAAGCAACGCGGCATGAGCACCCCTGTAGATCATGTTGGGGCTCCGAGCCTATCCCTTTTGCCGATCCGTAGGTTGTGGCAGGGAGTTGGCAATTCAATTCGCCGAGCTTGGGAAAGAAGAGGAATAAACCCTCCTGAGGGTGTCGTATTGTTACATTGAGAAGTACCCGAAAGAGACACCGAAAATGGTTGGTTCCCTGTTGAACGCCCCCCTTTCAACGCATCCAAGAACGAGGATTTTTAATTCTGCGCGCTCCAGCTGATATCCTCGCCACATGAACAGTAAAAGTACGAGTGGCCCTCGCGGCCGAAAACTCGGGGGGTTTTCCATCGGCTTCTTCATTCAACCGTTCAGGCTGCGACCCCCACGGATCTCGAGTGGCCAGCTTCCAACAGAAGGTGCTGCAGGCTGAGCAGTTGAGCACGTATTCACTCGTTGTGTCCTAGGTCTTTCACTTGGAATATTCCTACCTTTGCATTCCTGAATGGGCCGTGATTGAGCACAAGTCTCTGCAACGTGACCAGATGTTTCACGAAACGCCTGGCCAAGTAGCTTCAGAAGGGATGGTCGTTGCATCCCTCAGCTGCCGAAAGGACCTGGAAAAAATGTGAACCTTATCTAAATATACATGGAAGAAAACCAGGGAACCAAAAGGTTAAAAGGCCGAATCGCTATGTTCATCTGAAAACCTCCAAAAAATGTGGTGTTCCTTCAAGTTTCCTTCCAAAACCACCAAACAGGGGTACCCTTCAAAAAGAGACACACCCAGAGAAACAGCCAACAACATATCTGCCCCCTTGCCCCCAGTGGCCGAGCCGAGAGCCTTGAAGGCATCGCAGGGCTGCTGGTAGGCGAAGTACCTCACGGTGATCTCGAAGCAGAAGAAGATGCAGAAGATGTTATCCACAACCTGCAAGGGGGCCCTTGTCAGGTTGGTTGCGGGGAAGCCCACAGGAAAACCACCAGCAGAAAGCCAACCTGCAGCGTACAAAAAAAGAGGCGGCGCCTCTCGCCCAAGGAGGTTCTTTTCCATCCCAGCGGTGTTTTTCCACCGAAATTTTGGCTTTGGGGAAGTTTTGTCTTGGCCTATAGGGTTGGCTTAGAGTTGTCTAGGGTTGGTTTCAGGTCGGTTTAGGATTGGCCAGGATTGGTTTACTGTTGATATAGGCTTTGTTTAGGGGGAAAGGATCGCAACAGGGAAAGGGGGGGGGAAAGATCTCAGGGAGGAAAGGGAGAAGATCTGGGGAAAAACTGCCTTAGGGGGGAAAGGGGGAAAAAGATCTTTGGGAGGAAAAGGGAAATCTTTCTCGGGGGGAAAAGGCCCTAGAGCACAATGGGGGGAAAGGATCTCAAACGGGAAAGGGGGGGAAATATTTTAGGGAGGAGAAGGGTGAATATCTTGGGGGGAAAAGGCCTTAGGTGGGAAACGGGGGAAAGGATCTTAAGCGGGAAAGGGAGGAAAAGATCTTAGGGAGAAAAGGGAGAGGATCTGGGGGCAAAGGCCTTAGGGGGGAAAGGGGGGAAATGATCTCAACAGGGAAAGGGGGGAAAACATCTTCAGGAGGAAAAGGGAGAAGATCTTGGGGGGAAAAGGCCTTAGGGGGGAAAGGAACAAGGAAAAGATCTTAGGAAGGAAAAGGGGGAAGATCGCGGGGGGGAAAAAAAGCCTTAGGGGGGAAAGGGGGGAAAGGATCTCAACAGGGAAAGGTGGCAAAAGATCTTAGGGAGGAAAAGGGAGAAGATCTCAGGGGGGAAAGGCCTTAGAGGGGAAAGGGGGGAAAGGATCTCAGCAGGGAAAGGGGGGGAAAGATCTTAGGGAGAAAAGGGAGAGCATCTGGGGGCAAAGGCCTTAGGGGGGAAAGGGGGGAAAGGATCTCAACAGGGAAAGGGGGGAAAACATCTTCGGGAGGAAAAGGGAGAAGATCTTGGGGGGAAAAGGCCTTAGGGGGGAAAGGAACAAGGAAAAGATCTTAGGAAGGAAAAGGGGGAAGATCGCGGGGGGAAAAAAAGCCTTAGGGGGGGAAAGGGGGGAAAGGATCTCAACAGGGAAAGGTGGCAAAAGATCTTAGGGAGGAAAAGGGAGAAGATCTCAGGGGGGGAAAGGCCTTAGGGGGGAAAGGGGGGAAAGGATCTCAGCAGGGAAAGGGGGGGAAAGATCTTAGGGAGAAAAGGGAGAGGATTTGGGGGCAAAGGCCTTAGGGGGGAAAGGGGAGAAATGATCTCAACAGGGAAAGGGGTAAAAAAAACTTTTAAAAAAAGGGAGAAGATCTGGGGGGAAAAAGGCCAACAGGGAAAGGGGGGGGGGGGAAAGATCTTAGGAAGGAAAAGGGAGAAGCTCTCAGGGGGGGAAAGGCCTTAGGGGGGAAAGGGTGGGAAGGATCTTAACAGGGAAAGGGGGAAAACATCTTAGGAAGGAAAAGGGAGAAGATCTGGAAAGGCCTTAGGGGGAAGGGGGGAAAGGATCTCAACAGGGAAAGGGGGCAAAGGATCTTAGGGAGGAATAGGGAGAAGATCTCAGCGGGGGGAAAGGCCTTAGGGGGGAAAGGGCTCAACACGGAAAGGGGGGGAAAGATCTCAGGGAGGAAAGGGAAAAGATCTCAGGGGGGAAAAGGCCTTAGGGGGGAAAGGGGGAAAGATCTTTGGGAGGAAAAGGGAAGAACACAGGGTGGGAAAAGGCCTTAGGGGGGACAGGGGGCAAAGGATCTCAATAGGGAAAGGTGGGAAAAGATCTTAGGGAGGAAAAGGGAGAAGATCTCAGGGAGGAAAAGGCCTTAGGGGGGAAAGGGGGGAAAACATCTTAGGGAGGAAAAGGGAAAAGGGAGGAAGGGGCCTTAGGGGGGAAAGGGGGAATGGATCTCAACAGGGAAAGGGAGCAAAAATCTTAGAGGGGAAGGGGGGCAAGGGGACAATTCCAAAGGGACGCAAATAAGAAAGCAGGCCTGCAATGTCGGCGGCCTGAGCCGGAGGCGTTAAAATATTGTGTCTTTACTTTTCTATCTCTATCTTCACCAAAATTATAACTACTAAATGAAAAGGTGAAAGAGATAGAGATAGAAGGAGATGAAAGACAAGATTGAAGAAGTGAGATTAGGAAGGGCATGATGAAAAGAATCCGGACTCAATTTGTTTCCTCATTCCTCCTCCATCCGCTGGCCAGTTCTTTCCAGCGGATACAAATGAGATCCTCTTCCTTCACCTCTTTCCATCTTCACCAAACCTCATATTAAAATACAAAGGTGGCGATAGATGAAGGATGGTGAGTGAGGAGTGGATAGGATGGTGAGAGTAATACATCTCTTGGTCACCACCTATCTCTCTCTCACACACACATGTCTTTATCCCATCCATGCTCTCTTTACCCGTCCATATCTGTCTTTGACGGAGAGGAAGGGATAAAGAGATAAAGGATGAAGTGATGATGGGTCCAGACAGGAAACTACTAATGAAGTTGGGACCACGCATCACCTTTCACTCACCCAACAGAATATAGATGGTGAAAAGCATTATCCTTTCTTAGACTCGCTTTTTCTCCTTGTGGCGAGTCTTGGAAAGAAAGGAATGATATGAATGAGAGACTGCACACAAAGACTTTTGGATGGACCAGCTTCTATCTTCACTGTCTAACCTGTCAACTGACCGGTCCAAATGAAAACATGAATATGAATTGTGAATCTCTCCTAAGATATGCCATGTAGAGAAGAGTTAGGATGAGATGGCTGTGGCTCAAAAACAACCAAACTGGCATCTTAGTAAATGGAACCTGCGTAACCCCAGCTCTTGAGTTTGAGCCACAGCCACATGTCTTTCACCTTGATATCATATCATTCCCCTTCTCTCGCCTCGCATCTTCACTTTTCATCTTTTTCTAGTAGTTACCCTTGGGATGCGAGGGAAAGGGAAATAAAATAGCGAGCGGTCGGTAAGGATGGGTTGAGCGAGCTCTAATCATCCTGAGAATTGGAAAGGTTTAGATCTATCGTCTGGATCTCTCTTCATCACCTCGTACCTAAGAATCCACATGATGAAGATAGAAAGAGATCCAATTCACTCGCTTCCAAAGGCAATTACTAATTAACAATGATATAGACATGTTATTGGATATATCATGCAAATAAGACTCTGAAAAAGCTGTCCTAACATAAAAACCAAGAATAAAGACTAGAAAGGAGAATGAAAGAGAAGTTACATTCCTATCCATCTTTCACCCATTAATATCATATCTATAATTCCAGAATGTAACTTCCAAGTGCCATGAGAAATAGGATTATATTAATGGGAAGAAAGGGATCAAATAATACGACAACATATGATTATTATGTGTACATCTTATGTAACTTGATTGTAGAAGCAGATGTTATTATCATAGTATTGCTGCTTCATTGATCATGTTGACTTTGTATTACTTTCTTTCTCATATTATCATTGTTGCTACTGTCCAAGGTTACTTGTCCTTTACTTTTCTTGCTTATTGTAGACTTTAGAATATTGGAAATAATAATTAAACAAAATAAAGAATAAAGCAATAAGTAACTCAACATTAACAATACATAAATGATAATAAGATAATGACATATGCTTACATAATGTAATTACAACCAAAATACAAATGTAAGAAGATGTAAACAAGAAGCTGCCTGTTATTTGCATATTCCTTCATTTCTTTCTTCATATTATTATACCTCTCATTCTTATGGAAAGACTCTATCACTTGGAGGGTACATTCTGGAATTATAGATCGGAGATTAATGTAAAAGATGGCCAGGAATGAAATCTTCCTTTCATTCTTCCCTCCCTACAATTGATCGGACACTCTCTGGTTCTGTTTCAGCCCGCAAAGTAGATGATCCTTGGTATTTGGCCAATGAATTGGGCCAGTGGAACTTTAAGCACTCGATGCTGTCCAAGCCAACACAACAACACTCATCTCAGCGAACACAGGCACCCAAGCTTCATGGGTACGTCCGTGTCATTTGCTTGAGCTGCCCCTGAATAACAATTTGTTAACCAGCCATCATGATCTGACACCAACGAGAAAGTTAAAAGCATCGCCCTAAGCAAGCCAAGCAAGCGGAAGGTACTTCTGTTGAATATGTTGTTTGAGGGTACGCTTTCTTACAAGTAGGTTGTTTGAAGGTAAATCGAACGGCAAGCCAGATATTTTTTGGGGGGTTTCCCTTAGTTTGACACATACCCAGCCTGGAAAATCAGCGGTGAGTTGACCTCGAGTTCGGCTGGGTTCCTGACACGTCGCGACAGTTTGCCTCTTTGGCCATAAATTTGACTTAGATGCCCAGTGGCCATGGGAAACAAAAAAAACATCCTTTTTTGGTTGTTTGACTGTAAAGGGACACCCTTGCCAAAAAAAAGGAAAAATGGGCGCCACTGGGCAACAGAGTTGAATAGGGAACCACCCCACAAGTGGTTGGTGGACATGGAATCCCGCCTTAATGATGTCCATCACAGCTTCCCCTAGCTAAATTTAAATTCACACCCATTTTCAACGCCGGCATTGAAACTGCGGAGTCTGGCCGAACAGCATGGAACAGTTTTGCCCTTCTACAGCTGAAAACTGCAGGCCATTTTCTTGCAAGTGCACTGGGTACGATTCAAATTCGCACATCGCCAGTCTATATAACAGGATGGTCATTAGAAACACAACGCTCCGGGGGTTCCCCTCATGCCAGAGCACTTTCCACGACCGCGTCTAGAGGCCTCAGAAACCCAGTGGTGATTCAAGCGTAGTGACATGGGTGACGAACCGGGAATACGAGCGATTCAGGACCGCGGACCGCAACCTTCCCAGAGCTCCCTCTGAAACACTACTGAAAGGCTAACGTGCCACACTTCTTCAGGCTACTGCTTTGGGCTTTTGCATATTTCCACTGTACTCCCTGAAAGGTGCCTTGTTTTTCCAGAACATTCTCGGAGCATTCCAAATGGCTCAGCCCTCGCAAAAAGGCCCACAGACCCTTGACACGAAGGAACCCAAATGCAAGCACTCGCCCTTCCAGGGTTTTCATCGAATCTTGCTGGTGGAGGCGTGATTGCTGGCGAAACACGCCGCGCCACGTCAATGACTCATTTCCATCCGGGGCTTCTCGCGCCTTCTGGCGGGGGAGTCGTGACCAATTGCCCTGAAAGCTCCGTGGGAAATCAGCCCCCTTTGCCGGCTGCAAAATGGCAGGTTCATATCTGCAGGTGCATCGGTCTTCGCAGCAAGCAAAAAAATGTCGCGTGAGCCCTGGTGCAATCCCCGCCCACGCGCGGGCGAAGACATGCACAAAGGCCAAGAGGGACGGCGCCAAGAAATCGGCCGCGGTCCTGTGCTCTACTGGGCAACCCAATGGCTCCTCTTCAATTCAGGGCAGCTTTGCTTGGTTGGCTGCAAAAACATATCCGAACTTAAGGCTCCATGCGTCATGAAGGTTGGCTTCAAGACCAACCTTGGGGTCCCTCACCCCGAAGTGCAAAATGCAGGCGAGAGTCAAGTCTGTGTCCACGCCAATCCAAATTGCGTTCAAGACCTCAGTCTTGCTGCGGGCAACGAAACTGGCAACGCCAAATCTAATCTCAAACGCGCATACCTGCGAGGCCTCCGAGAGTAAGCCAAAAGCAACACACCGCGTGCACGCGCAAACAAATGCCATGGTTTGCGGCTGCCTGCGCTGCAGGCTTCTCCTCGAAGCTCATACTATTTGCTTGGATCCTGGACCCTGGACCTTTGGGTAGCCATAGCCTGTAGGGTGCAGGGGGGAATGGGGGCATTGGGGAGAAATTACTGTCACCTCACTGGTCTGTGCGCCTTGCATGTGTACGGGCTAGGGAGTTCATGGGGTGGAGGCTGCCCTGCGACGGGAGGAACGGCTTCCGTTGGCCGCTGAGACCTGCAGGTCGCTCCGTCCATCCATTCATTCATCTTCTTTGCTTATTTGATTTGCCACATCCTGGTGTGGCATCGGAATCGCTTCTCAAGATGCCACGCAACATCAAGTTGTATATAAACACATAGACATACATAGACAAAACATGATATAGTAGGACAAGTACAATGTCACGAAGCATATCCAAATTGGTATTGAAATGCCATGTCAGATACACATAGTTGCGACATGAGACCGGTATTCCCTTTGTGATATGAATCAATCATACTAACATTCGCATCATTGTCGCTCAATACTAGGGAAACAACTGATACAAAACACATATGCTTTCAATAATAACGTGTCAATATATGACTAACACATAGAAACCGGTGTATGATCGTCAAATGAGCGCCTATTTAAAAAAAAAAAAAAAAAAAAAAAAAAAAAAAAAAACAAAATCGTTCAGGTCTATTCTGCAGCACGAAAACTACATCCGTTACTTCAAATATTGTTGCAACACTCAAAGTGTCCTGCCCAGCCGCTGCTCCCCAGACTGAATGAACATGGAACCTGCAAAGAGGTCCCCAAAAAAAAGACTTTCTGAGGGCTTCGGGTTGAGTGCGTTTCATGCTGGGGAGGTAGCCCGTGAGCGCCCAATCGCATCAGCCGGGTATGCCACTTGACAGCCGGGCTCCCCTGCAATCACGAACATCGTCAGGTTTTTGAAGAACTGATTTCGCGCCACTTGCTGGCACCTGAGATGCCGAGGGAGCAGGGTTCCCTAAAGTTCCCTTTCACACATCAAAGCTACGAAAGATCACCTAAAGCGAGCCAAAATGTTTAAAAGTTTAAAGCCAACATGAGAAGAGTAAGGGCCGGAAAGGGGGAGCGCGACTAAAGAAAAGATCGTAATCCCCTGGCCTAAAGAGGAGGAGTGCCGAAAGGCGGAAGGGCCCCCGCCTTAAGTATGATGCCCCATTTTTTGGATCAAAGACTTGACTGGTCCCTCAGCACGTGGCTCCCAGTTACCTGCAAAGGGAACCAGCCATTTTCCGAAAGGCTGGTTCCCTTGGTTACCTACCACACAGGGAAATGGAATCTCTGGGTAAGATTGCACCAATACCGAACCCCTTCGGAAGCAAAGTTGGCGAAGGTGATTGATCCGAATCATGCTGGACCCAAATGCCTTTGGCCAAACCAGACAGTGGGAGTCAGTTTGGCGAAGGCATTCTCGGGTGGTCGAACATGCTGCAACCCGCTCATCCAGCTTCTTTTCTCACTCGTTTGCCCTCAAAGATGTGCGCACGACGGTATTTGCTGCCCGTTTTCCTCCTAACTCGATCAAACCTGCAAAAGTCTTTCCCCTCGCCATCAGTATTTGTCGACACATGGCTATGAGCTCAATCCAAACTAGCACAGCTTGCAATTCCAACACCTGAAATCAGAGATTCCCACGCAAAGGGCCTGCATCATGAGCTCGGTTTACCCCCGGATCGGTGAGCTCGCCATAAAATTGGCAACATGATGTGCACACAAAGGGGTTCATGCGAACTTCGAATTCGCAGCGTGGGTCCAACGCTCTCCACCTTAGGATCTCCGAACCAATCAGGGCCGCTTAAGCACCTCAGGGTAGGTGTCGAAATAGGAGAACCCCCCCTAACGCTAGTTTTCTTGTTGATGTTGCTTCGAACCAACCCAAACAGCATGTATATACTGCTTATATATATATATACACAACTCTCTCTCTCTCTCTCTCTCTCTGTATATGCATATATATATATATATATGTATATATCCACTCACACACACTTTCAACCAACTCCCAGGACAACTATTGCTGACTGCCGCACCATCCCGTAGTCTTGTAGATGTCCTGGCGCATTGACCAGATCTGGAACCGGATGCGGCACCTTCGGTACACCTAGCAGGCATCTAAACGTATCTAAGAGCATGAGGCTGACCAAACTGTGACTTCACCTTACTCCGGATTGTGTCTCCAACGACTCATATGAGTGGTACTTAATTATACACATACAAGACTGTAAGACGACAGTTGAAGAGAAAATCTCATCAGATTTCCCTCTCCCTCTCTCTCTTTCTCTGCATGTGAGAAGTCATGTTGTTTGGCTGGACTGTATGTCGGTGAACTTGCGGGGAGCCGAATTTCAAGCCGGTGTGGACGCAGGATGTTCTTTCTGCAGCTATCCCTTAATTGGAACTCGCAGCCCCCCTACCAGGCAAGATAGGCTGTCGCATAAGGCTTTGGTTGGGACGGGCTAGTCCCCCAAGAAAACCCTTACGTCTGGAGGCCTCAAGTAATTGGCCTCAACCGGCAGGAAAACTCTAGGAATTCGTCTAACCCTCCAAAAGTTCGGGCAGCTGCCCCATACTTTTCAGCAGTTCCCTTTTTCCTATCACTGGCCATTGCCCAGGGCGGCAGTTTCGATGTGGGTGGGAATTTTGTGGATGGCATTGGAGGCCGGCCAAAACTATCACTCGGCTGGCTGAAATGAACGTCCAGGGACTGTCAGGCCCACAAGTTCTTTCAATTTCCGGCGCCTTCACATTTCAGGCGTGCTCTACACACAAGGTAGGGGCAAACAGTCAAACAGCTACCCCAAGTCAACAATGAAGCAGTCATTCTCAGTCAAGTCAACTAGTCATAAATAATCCACCAGCTCCCACCTTCTCTTGGCTAAATTGCCTCTGAAAATCCGAGCCACTCGAGACCAGACCCATGGTTTTTCCAATTTGGATCCGGTCGTCCTCCGGGTTGAACTCCGGCGAGAAGAGGGAGGCCCGCACCTTGTCCTTGATCTTGTCGGCGTCCGGAAACATGGCGCCTGCGTTATTGGCGGTTCGTTGAGTCCTCGCAAGGTGATCCGCCTGGATATGGCATGAATATCATCTCCAAGCTCCAGAGAATGACCAGTGGCTAAGCTCCAGAGAATGACCAGTGGCTAAGCTCCAGGAAATGACCAGCGGCTAAGCTCCAGAAAATGACAAGTCTCGGGGTATGGCACTGCCAAGAAATCCAAGGCTCCGTGTATAGACCCAGACATTTGGGGGCTCTTCGGCAAATCTCCCAAGGGAAGCGACGAAGGCTATATGAAACATAGCCGCCCGGCTCTCGGGACAGGCCCAGCGGCAAAACTGGATCCATTGAACATTTTGAGAGGGTCTCAAAAATTAGCGTTTGGGGGTGGAATGCAATCGCCATTCAAAGGGTCATGTTGAGGATGGCAGTTACATCGGCCAAGCAAAACGACTCTCGATCAAAGGCTCATCAGCAGCTGTTGATATATATATATATATATATATGAACCCAATTGGCGGAGTGTTCAAACATAGGCATCCATGGTTATGCTTCTTCGGACGGTGTCACAAAGGGATACCGCAAAGAAACCTGTGTTGGCGGCTTCCTATTTTGGGCATTCCCAGACATAAACGCAGGGCCATGGCTCCTTGGCTGCCGATTGCCCAATCCCAAGCCGATCGCAACGAAGAACCCAAATCAAGCCAGTTGATAAGACTTGCCTTTCCATGCCCTTCTCCAGAGCAGACCAGGACCCCCAAACCAAGGCCTTCTACGCAAAGGGATCTTTGTGTTTCCGAGAAAGAAAAGATCGAAGAAACCCTGTAAGAAGATGGTTCACTCACGCCCCCCACCTACGCCGACAGCACCCGGGGTGTGCGACCCCGTTTGCCTCGGTGCCTGGCCCTTGAACAACAAAACATGGGTGAGAAGATGTCTTTGTTCATATTCACAGCCTGTGTCATTTAAATCATCCAAGATAATGAAGATAATGAACTGAAATACCTGCAAACTTTACTACTCCAAAACCTAAAACAGATCCCCGTAGCAAGCAAAAGTACAGACCGGCTCAAGTTACTCGGATCGCTGATCTCGCCATTTGATTCGCGCCTTGGGCGAAAATGCCAAAGCCCTCTGACACCCCCGGGGAATGCTGGCGCTTGAAGAGGAGCGGCTCCTCTCGAAAATGCCAATGAAACATAGCGCCAAAACCCAAGCTGACCTTTCTCTTGTAAAGAATACATGACACAAAGGCCGATAACCAGGGCCAACCGACACCTAGAAAGGGATACACTTTCGTTTAGCTCTGCTTAGTTGCCTTCGAGCAGCCTAATAAGTCCATGAAGGTTCGGGTATCCTTGTCAATGTGTGTATTATTATATTATAATCATTCCTATTTTTATTGATATATGTCTTTGTCTTGTTCTTCTTCGTCTTCTTCCACCTTAGTCTCATTCTTATGTTTCTTCTTAGGTTTATGTTTGTTCTTCTCTTCTCCTTCTTCTCCGCCTGCCTTTCCCCTTTTCTGTCCACACAAATGTCCTGATCCTACAAGTTAATGGCACCACCACCAAATGGAGTTGCTTCCTTTCACCCTGCAAGCACACGGACCAACGATGTCGGCTGAGGAAGAAGACGAAGAAAGGATGCCTCAACAGAAAACAACGATGGGCAAAGGATGTGATGTTAAAGGTGGTATTGTTTCTAACTGAGCCACTTTCTCTGCTGGGACATTGAGAGCTCAAGGGCGTGTAGGACTGCAATGTGTGAGGGTGTTGTTCTTCTCAGGCAAAAATGGCGGCAGCAACAAGGCTCATATCCAAGGGATCTGCAGAATCCTTACAATCCAGAGCTCAATATGCTGACAGCACTGGACAACCGAAAACGCTGATGGCCGTCCTTCAGGTTGCCATCTCCCTCCTGCACAGCATTTTTCTCGAGAGGAACACCCTTGCAGGACAAATGGACCCAACATGGTGGTGCTCCTTTTGGTTTCCCCTTAAACCAGCCAGAAAGTGTATCCTCGAAAACCACACGCCCAAATTGCCGCCCCTCCCGCCCCCTCCCCCCTTGCCCCCACTTCTTCGGCTACTAAGCCAGTTCGAAAAAACAGCAACTACAAGGCACCTTGAACTCCGACCCCCAGGATTCTTGGACACCAACCTTTGACAAGTGATTGGAAATCTCTATGCTCCTTTCCTCGTTCAGTAGGAATGGTCGTCTCGTTGTGATTCGTCCCAGCCAGATGTTGATCCCTTTCGCGTGGCTGGCAAAGGCGAAGGATTGAATCATGTCTGTAAAAGCTGTTGTTTGGAAACGTAAGAACGTTACTCGTTTGGGGTCTGTGAAAACAATAACACATCGAACATGTCAGTCCCTACAAACGGCTCACAACCGCAAAACAAGCTTTTGCTGGCACGCTTTTCGCGTAGGTTCCCACACACCAGAAAAAGAACAAAGGGCCCACAAAAGAATTAGTCTTCTTTGAATGCTGGTTGATGCATCTCTCATGGTAGACAGCAGATCAAGACTTCAACATTTGAACACAAGGCATAGTCATGGTACACCTAATATCAATCCTTGCAATGACTGTCAACAATCCCTATTGAAGTATAGAGTCGTTTGACCGGGTATGTGTATACACACAGTTGTATAATTTAAACACGTATATATAGATATATGTCTGTTATACATATATAGAGAGAGAAAGAGAGACAAAGATAAAAAGAGAAAGAACGAACGAACGAACGAACGAACGAACGAAAGAACGAAAGAAAGAAAGAAAGAAAGAAAGAAAGAAAGAAAGAAAGAAAGACAGAAAGAAATAAAAAGCGAAAGAAATAACAAAATAGAGAAAGAAAGAACGAGCAAAAGAAGGAAATAACAAACAAAATAGATAAATAAATAAAACATAAATAAATAAACAAGACACAAAGACCAACATAAAGAAACAACAAACATGAAATAGAGAAAGAAAGGAAGGAAGGAAACTAAAAATAACATATAAACAAAAAAATACAGAAAGAAAGACAGAAATAAATAATAAAGAAGAAACAAACAGAAAGAACAACAACATAAATAAATAACAAACGAAAAGAAAGACAGACAGAAAGAAAGACAGAAAGACGGAAATAAAGGAATAACTAATAAAGAAGCAAAGCAAGGAATAAATCAAGAATTACAGAAAGACAGAAAGACAACATATCAGAGTTCTTCAAGCAGCAAGTGCCCCGATGTTGGAATTATGTGCCCTTGAATTTGGCATTTTTGAAGAGGGTCACAAAAGGGTCAAACAAAAGTGATGAACAACCTCACAAGGCCACATATCTTTCATTACAATAACTCGCAAACCTGAATTAAGAGATCCACGAGAAAGTAATGCTGGACCAGGGTAGTTTTGCGGGTCGACCAACATGGCAGAATTGTGCCATCTACTTTCACCCAACTGTAAGTGCTGTTCAACAAGAAGAACTAAATGACACCCGCCAACAATAGGGGTCCCTCCCAAGAAACCAAAGTGAATGGGCCGTATTGCCCGATACTTTTCACACTCTCCCAGCCCAATGCAACCCACCCCCAAAGACCCACCCGGTGGTCTTCCAGCAGTAGAAGGGTACCCTTTTGTCTCTAGTCTATTTTAGTAGGAGAACCCTCCCCCCAAAAAGTTGGTCAAAGGGCACCTAGCTGGGGGACCTAGGCAAGGATCACCGCTCAAGGCTCGCCACGCCTTGGTCGTCATGCTGCGGACGCTCGCGGTGCTCACGCGGCGGTCCCGAACCTCGCGGAGCTCGGGCTGCGCGCGCTGCAGCTCAGCAATGGCCTGTGGCCATTGAAGGAAGACAAACAAAACAGTGGGATAAACTGGCCATGGGCTTTTCAAAATCCAAATCGTACCCCCAGTAAGCATCCCAATCCAACCACTAAAATGGACTGAAATGGGTGCACCTACCCCAAAATGGTACCATTGGTTTGGACAACCACAGCCAAATAGGCCCTCCCAACTCTTTTAGATGGCTTGGAAAGAAAGCTGAGGAGCCACATTGCAAGGAGCTACACAATATCCTCGCGGGTATTACACGGTTTTTTGGGTGACCCTCTTTGGGCGCATTTGTTTGAGCCATTTGACAGCCATTGGAGCAAGGAGGGGCCGGTTTACCAGCTGTGCCTGTTTCTCTGGCTGAATGTCAAGACTCGAGGAGCCTGACAGAATGAAATAAACATCGGAATAGCCATCACACTTTTCTAGGTGTGTCTTGTTGGGAAGGCCCTTTTCGATGTATGCCATCTGCGTTGCGGGCGCTCACGGTGGAGGGGGAAGTCAAAGATCAGCAAATGCATTCAGCTCTTCACAGCCGTTGGCAAGCTGAATGTCACATGTGCCCGAAAACCAAAGAAGCGGCGGACAACAAAGACAAACAACGAACATAGCTTTGAAGTGTAAAGTTTGCCAGAAGGTAGCTATCTGGAAAGGTCTCCAGAGCTCTGGTCCTAAGTTTTGTGGAACCCAGCCTGGTCAAGCTTGGCTTTGGCAAGCCGGAGTGAAATGAGGGTACCATGCTCAAAAATGAAGTCAAAAGGAAATTCCTAATCTCTAACTTTGACACCTTTGCATTAAAGTAGGGATTTGGACCCTCAAATGATCGCACTCCTTTCATATACCCAACAAACGTGCAGACAGCGTCGGCTGGAAGGGTCCTATCCGAAGACGTGGCTCCTCTTTGTTACTCATGGCCTGCAAGAGGTCGTGCACTGATTCCCGGCCTACATGTTGCAGGGGCGGGAAAAGGAGCACCTAGTGTCTCACTGTTGTTTCAGGCTTGTTGACTTGCAATAATATTCGCGGAAATCCTGTTTAATATCGAGTGTGATCATGCTCCCGCACAAAATGTCCACCTGGAATTCAGAGGCACATGGTGACTCAGAGAACTCCGGAGCTAAGCGGATCAACAGTAGGTGATGTTTCATGTTTGCCTCACGGAGGCGGCTTTTTGAGCAGGGTTCCTTTCCAAATAGCCACAAACCATTCCAATATATTCTGATGCCTGATCGACACGACCCGCGGCCCAAAGGCCCAGCGCATCATCTTCATATTGACACTATTCATCAACCCCAGCTTATTGCAATTTGGGGGTGGTCCCCTCCAAAAGGGACTCCCCACTAAACCCAGGGACACCCCCCCATTTATAAACTGGGGTTGACTAGTATTGGGTCAACATTCTCAAACCGGGACTTCCTCGTAACGTCACTTCAAGGGCTTCCCAGCAGCTCGCAAATGGATCAACTCCTACAGCCTGGTGGCTTATCCCAGTTCTTGTTGAGGCTTCATCCATGCCGACCGGCGCCGATCGGCGAGGCTTTCGTCCATCCCATATCACAGACACCAATCCCTTGGTACAGAAAGTGACCTAACCCAAACCCAACTTTCCCAGAACCGTCCCTTGGCGTAAACACCAGTCCATTGGTCTCGGAGCAAGTGCTAACCCTACAGCAATTCTGTCCAAACCACGGTCCTGGACTCAAACTAAGCTGCCCTGGAAAAGGGGAAATAGGGTCCAGAATGGCTACTTTCCGGGGGCAACTCCCAGACCCTCGGACCTGGTTGATCATCAGAACCTGCTTCACCGCCTCGCTCTGCATCTGCAGTAGCTCCTCCAGGGCTCCATACCCCCAGGTGGACTCACAGAAACCAGAAAATACTTGGGATATTTTTGTAGAATCTCCTGTTGGTTTTCTAAATGTGAAACCCAATGGATGTCATTCTTCCCGCAGCCCTGAATTCTTGCCTACCTTGTCCAAAACAAATGGAACCTGCCAGGCACTCACTCCCGCGCCCGCAAACAACACACCTACGACGAGCCTGAAACTTGTCCATCAGAGTGCATCCCAGGCAAGTTTTTAGAGGGTGGTTTGGGAGCTACCCCTATAGGGTAGCTAGTTCCCTGGCCATCCCGAGTACCTGCCGAGGTATGAACTTCCCCCACAAAGAAAACAAAAACGCGGCCCTTGCACTTGGCAAGCCGCAAAGAAAGACAGGTAACTAGCTATGTTCCTTTTGGTTTTAAAGGGCGCTTCCCTTGGTTACCTCCTATACAGGCAAAAGGATCCACTGGGCTACACAAACTGCATCTTCCTTGCGTGACCTGACGCCCTCCACACTGGCTTGTCTCCAAAAGGGATATGGATCCCCACAGCACATCGAAATGGTGTTTCCTACAATCGGGCAGGGTTAGCTGTCCTCGGTTTCCGTCAAGCCATCCAAGAAAAGTGAGTTAAAACTCAAAGGAGGGAAGTGACCAAATTGTTTGCCTTTACACCAACTGAGCAAGTAAGCCTAGCCCCCGAATACCAAAAAGGAATCTCGGGGAAGGTCAAAATTCCCGAAAAGCTGCAGGGGCGACAGCGTACCCGGCAAACTGACCGTGATCTCATTGTTCCCTTGCATAGAGAAACAACCCTGGAAGACAGTTCTGTCCTCCCGGCTGAATCGTCCAAGCCACATCTCAAGAAAAGATCCGGAGGATGCCCAAAATCATGAAAGTAAACCAACTACAATCACAAACCAAGGGAATTTACAGGGATTATCTTGTTCCTTTTGTTGCAATATGGGCATCCGTCAATTTCACCTGGTGATCCCCCGTCCGCCGGAGCCTCGATGGGCTTACCTTTCAGCGTCATTGCGATGCTTCGAGGGCCAGAGCGAGCGCTCGCAATCCGATCCGCTCGAGCCAACGCTGGATATGGCGACGCCCGGCCAACATCGGTCGCAGGTTTCGTGTGTCCTCTCGCCATCCGAAAGAGTGGCTTGCCGTTGCTTTTGGCACATCAAAAAGAGGCTAGTTGGGTGTCCATTGAATTTACAAAGGGGTACCCAGCCTCAACAAGAGACATATACCCATTGCCATGCGGGTCGAAAATCCAGCAGGACCCCAGAGTCACTGCCTTTGAGGAAATGGAAGCTGATGAACTGCCGGTTCTTTCCAGCGCCCTTTGCCTCGCCTGAAGTCATGGGCGAACAAAAAGCGAATTGGACTCCGTTCGGATGCCCAACGGCTTCGCCTTTCAGAATTCCAATGGCATACGGCATACGGTCCCAGCAAAGACCCGTGTTGCTGTCCAAGTAAGGGAACCAACACAAATTGTGGTTTATCTTTGGTTGCCCTTTAAAGCAACCCAAAAAAAAAGGTTCTCTCAAGACAACAGAAATACAGCATCTATATGTCTCAAGTAGACAGCGCATTGACATCATGGAAGTTCTGCTCAGCGTGCACCATTCTCCATCCTCCATGCTGGTGAAGGAGTGAAACGATTTGTTGCTAGGACGTGGCTTTCTATGCACTGGCCTTGCTACATCCTCCAAAACTTGCACCTTGTGCAGCTCCTCTTTGTGCCAACAACAACTTTCCATGCCTGCGAATGCAAGTTGAGCCTCACCGAGTCCCGAGCACATGTACATTGACGCGGCTTAACCCTTGTCAGCTTGCAGTCACAGAACCAAGCAACCCAATCAACCAACCCACCCACCCACCCACCCAACCACCCAACCCACCCACCCAACCCACCCACCCACCCACCCAACCAACCAACCAACCAACCAACCAACCAACCAACCAACCAACCAACAGAACACTGAGGCCAATTGTGGTGTCTCTTTCACGTTTAGTCATGGCCCTTTATTCATCGGTAGCTCAAGGTCAGAAGCGGCTGTGCATAGAAGCGGTTCTCTAAGATGGCTTCCACCCAATACTAGTATAGAACCTATCCGAATGGCCACGTGCTATTTATGTCAATGTTATATGTTGTACATATTATATATATATATATATACATGTATTGTGTAGCGACATGTATTCCCGTATCCCTTGGGGGAAGTGGATTTGGGCAGTGGAAACCTTCTGAGAAGTTCGACGGCGCATAACTTTTGCTATGTACAGCGAAGTTCAGCCACTCCACCTGTGCAAGGGTCAAAAGTGGGCTCCGTTCCCACTACCTGCTTGCTAACAAATGGCTGTGGCTCAAAAAACCGGTACCAAAAAGGAACCCTTTTAAGTGGAAACATGGACCAAAACCTGCGTAACCCCTCCTGTTTAGTTTTGAGCCACACCCAAATGTCAATCATCCTCCATTTTCCATTGGCTTAAGCCACCTGGGCAAACAACCATATTACGAGCAGTGATGGATGATGCCCTTGAATGCAACAGTGCAGATAGAATATATCATTTTCCAAATGGAAGACATATGGCCCTTGTCGGACCCTGCCGCCTTGTGCCGTCTTTTGACTGAGACACCGCAAAGGGGGGCGCTGCCTTTTTGGAAAAAACTGTATGTAATCGTGTAGATTCCGCGCATGCCAAACTTGTCACCCAGGTTGGGGACCCCCAACTCTGTTCCACAGGTGTTCGGGAGTGGTGTTTAGAAGAAAACCATGGGGTCCCTCCCTCCGACCACTCCCGCACCCCCACCCTCCCACCCAAAAAAGAAACAACCAACCAACCAAACAAACAAACAAACAAACCAAACTATCAAGAAACACAGAACAAACAACACAACAGAACAACACAACACTAGCAGACCGACAAACCAACAGCCAACCAACCAAACAAACGCACAGGCAGGCACAGGCAGGCAGGCAGGCAGGCAGGCAGGCAGGCAGGCAGGCAGGCAGGCAGGCAGGCAGGCAGGCAGGCAGGCAGGCAGGCAGGCAGGCAGGCAGGCAGGCAGGCAGGCAGGCAGGCAGGCAGGCAGGCAGGCAGGCAGGCAGGCAGGCAGGCAGGCAGGCAGGCAGGCAGGCAGGCAGGCAGGCAGGCAGGCAGGCAGGCAGGCAGGCAGGCAGGCAGGCAGGCAGGCAGGCAGGCAGGCAGGCAGGCAGGCAGGCAGGCAGGCAGGCAGGCAGGCAGGCAGGCAGGCAGGCAGGCAGGCAGGCAGGCAGGCAGGCAGGCAGGCAGGCAGGCAGGCACACAGACAGACAGACAGACAGACAGACAGACAGACAGACAGACAGACAGACAGACAGACAGACAGACAGACAGACAGACAGACAGACAGACAGACAGACAGACAGACAGACAGACAGAACAGACAGACATCAAACAGACAAGCAAGCAAACAGGACAACCAACCAACCAAACGAAGAAACAAACAAACAAACAAACCCACACACAGACAAACACACACACACAAACAATTAACAAACAAACAAACAAACAAACAAACAAACAAACAAACAAACAAACAAACAAACAAACAAACAAAAAAACAAACAAACAAACAAAGAAAGAAATGAAGAAACAAACAAACAAAACAAGCAAACAAACAAACAAACAAACAAACGAACGAGCAAACAAGCAAGCAATCAAGCAAGCAGACACACAAGCAAGAAAGCAAACAAACACAGCAACAAACAAATAACACAAAAGCAACACAAACAAGCAAAGAAACAGACAAAACACACTGACAGTAAGCCGCATCTTGAAATGTGTCGAACAAATGCCTTTGACCGGGGCAGAGTGGGACAGTCAATGTTTGGTTTAGTAATCATTCAGAAAAGCTTTTTCCATGCACATGGGCTTCCACTCTAATCCGAGCACTTTAACCCAAGGAACGGTCAGCTGTACTGCTAGGCAAAGCTTAGATCCAGCATGGTATTCTTGAACACGATGCCAAGAGCATGGGACATGGGGAAACAAACCCAAGAACTGGCGACTGTTTTTTTTGGTCAGCCGGACCTTCTCACAAAATGAACAACAGGGGCTGAGTGCCCTACGCAGCGATGGAACTTCTGGTCCCTGATCGGAAAAGCCGACGGAACAGCCGAATGGCATTGCGACACATCTCGCCAAGCTCCGGATGCTGAACAGGTTTGGAAGACTGGCCAATATTGCCAATCCGCTTTTGGCTTGGTTTGGGGAAGAAACCAAATGCGGGCTAATTTTTGCCCAGCCCTTCATGCCATAAACAAGACATGCGAAGCTCTATTCTGCACACCGGGGGTCTCTTTTTGAGGGTACCCTTTCTTGTGGCTGGGTTAAAAGGAAGCCAAACAAGAACCCCCCCCCAGGACAAACCCACATGCACCATTCAAAGATTAGCGACAACAAGCTCGCCCCCCGAATGGGGTATTATCTTCTACAAATGCAGGTTTTGTACGTCCACATGAATCTGAATCTGAAGGGCTGCAAGGTTGGCCTGGCCAGGCATGCCAAAAAAAACAAAGGCCATCTTGTGCTGCCAAGGTGGAAAGGCAGGATTCCTTGTCAGCCATCCATACAAAGGAAACCACAAAGGTCCAGGCATTTGTGGCACATTGACGGCGAAGATTGACCAAACATCTCCAATTAAGAATATGTGTTCATACACGTATTTACACACGCATCATGTCATTACAGAAGTATACATTAAACACATGCGAGATGAATATGCATCTAATTGACACGTACACCTACACATACACATGAACATAGACATACAACAGATACATGCACATATACACATTATGCACATGCTTATGTGTATATATATATATGACAAACATACCCGGTTACCCGCAACCTGGTCTATCTTTCGGATCTCCCCGCCGGCCTTACGTCACCCGGAAGGTGCAGTGCGGGCAGAAGTTCGCGCCGGGGCAGCGGGGCATCATCTGCGAGCACCTGCCGTGGGCGGGTTGGGTTGGGAGGTTGGGAGCAGGGTTGGGCGATCCAACCCCTTTTTGGTTTAGGGTGGGTTAGCTTTGTAGGCGTTGGCTTATAGGGGTTTACCAAAGGATCAGGGTGCCATGATGAAGCATGTTTAAATTAAATTGTTGAACGTCCGATTTAGGTTTCCTAAGGGAGGCCAAGCCTTGTTTGCTCAAACAAACTTGGCCAAACCTAGTCTCGGGTTTTCCTGGGTGACTGCAGAAGGAATTTAATGGAAGACCACCATTTGGAAGGCACACCCCTATTTCTATGATGAAAAGTCTGTCACCTTGTCAACGATTCCCGAACATTTTGTTGGATCCTCTAGCAAAGCCCCATACTCTGTGTGCAAATGACGTGTAGATATGTCTGGATAGCATGGGTGAGGTCGTCATGCGCTCAAATATATACTATGTTTTGTCGTTGGGACCCATAAAACAACAGCTTTGCAGGGGGTGACATAATTAGGTTGGGGAGTGGGCAACAGGTGTACTTCCTGACCTTCTCCATCGGGCATATAGAAAGAAACCATCCATTTGATAATGGACACCTGGTTGTGGCAAAGGATCATTTCCAGTCATTTCCAGTCATTTCCAGTCATTTCCATATTCCCTATAAACTAAGAACACGAACCAACTGGCATGGTCCGGGGACTCTGCTTTTGTTGCGACCTGACCACAAACGTGCAAACAAGGGCACCCTTCCATCTGCGGATTGGCTCATGGCAGAAACTGTCTCAGCTTCTGTCTGACTTCGCAATGACACCGTTTTGGCTTTCAGGTTATCAGGGTGGCCCAAGCTCTCCAGCGGGCCATCTGCGTGTTGGCGCCCGAAATTCACGAGATGCCTTGAGAACCCAACAGGCGATTGCCAACTCGCCGCTTCGAACCATCGACCAAAACCGTGGCGGACCAGGTGGGCCCCAAAACGTCGAACCGGGGGGTAGGGGGCCCGAGGTTTTCTGTGGTTTCCTTGGAGCCAACCCCGAACAGGGCAGCCGCAAAAAGGGATGCTTGCCGCAGTCAGAACTGCTGTGGGCCATGGGCATGCATCCCGGAAA